ATTATGCCGAAATCCTCACTAGCTTTCTCCAGAACTCTTTCTCTTCAGAAAAATTAGGTTTGAGGATGTTGATCAAGACCAGTCATGCTTTTCTGCTTCTCTTCTGAGTCATTCTATATCTTCTGGTTTCTGTGAGTTGAGTAAGCGTGTCATTCAACATCAGCTGCCTTTTTGCTAAGCTGCGTTCATTCTGACTCCACTGCCTTTCATTCCCCTGTGAGTGAGTTTTTCTTCTTACAGGTTTTTTGTTGACTTGAGAATCGTGTCCCCATCTTTATTTATTTATTGTTTTTTGAATCTGACCTATAATACTCTGTGTCATGAGTCAGGCTCATGGCAGAGGCAAAAGGCAGTGTAGCATAAGGAGTTTGGGATTCAAGGTCTGTTTTCTCTCTTTCCAGCTGAGTAACCTTAGAAACAGTTGTTAAACTCTTTATGCTTCAGCTTACTCATCATTAAAATAGAAAAATAGTAGTGTGTACATCAGGTAATCCATATAAATGACTTAGAAAACTGCCAAGTATCTAGAAAGTACTTAGTGTGTGCTTTCTTCCTTCTGCTCACTGCCTCCCCATCCTCGCATGAAGCTTTCCTTCTTTCAGGTTGTGGTAGCTGAAGGACCCATCCAAGTTCTCCCTGGAGAGATCTCTTTTCCTTTCTATATCTGATTGGCTCCTACTCACTCATCCCTGCTTCTCTCTCTCTCTCTCTGTGCAGGATTTACTTCCCTTGTAAAGCTTTGCCACTATTATTAGTCTATATTTATTGGCGTCTTTATTGGAGACATAGGAAGGGAGGGCTGTTCCCACACCTTTGAGGGGCCTCTGCCAAGTTCATGAGAATGCCTGTCATAGAAACATCAAAATCTCCTTGCGTTCAGTTGCATTTTCTCACCTTTGGAAAGACGCCCATGTTTGCTGCATTTTTGCCAGTGTCTAGTCAAGAGCTAGTATGGCACTTGTGTGCTTGTTATCCTGTAACTGTCACTGGAGGCTTCATGTTTTCCAGTTTTTCTTCTGGCTTTTAAGATGCCTTTCTTCTTGATTCCTTTTTCTTTTCTCCTGTAATTTCCAAGACATATGGCTTTGTTATTCTCTCTGCAAGAATGCATGCTTACTCCAGAAACTGCTCGCTGCTGATTTGATGTGTTGCATCTTAGCCTCAACCCTGTATTGGAAACGGTTAATAAAAGGCCAGCATTGTGGCACATCAGGTTAAGCTGCTGCCTGCATTGGCAGTTGTTTTACTTCCCCTCCAGATCCCTGCTAATAAACCTGTAAGGGCAGTGGGGGATGGACCAAATGTTTGGGTCCTTGCCACCCATATGGAAGACAGAGCTGAAATTCCCTGGTGCTGGCTTGTGTCTGGCCTAGTCCCAGCTGTCGCAAGCACTTGGAGAATGAACCAGTCAGTGGATGCAGGATCTTTTGCTTTCTGTCATTCTGCCTATAAAATCACTAGAATCTTTTTTTTTTTTTTAAATCATGTGGATAACAAGTAACATAAATAAATCAGTATCAATAAATAATAATGGTATAGAAATTGCCATGTTAAAAATTAGTCTTTTATTTAAACTACATTTCCTAAATTATTTAGTTTGCACAGAGGGGACAAAAACTCATTTCAGCAGTTGACATGAGGCAGAAAAGCCACGCAGAATGGCAGCTCCTTCCACTTGCAAGTAACATGAGCCTCTCTGGTGTGAGTGCATCACTACTTATGGTTACTTTTTCATTTTTTGTTTTTGGTTTTGAAAAATAACTATTGTTTTGTCCAAAATGAATAAATGCCAACTAATTGCACCAAGGAAAATAATTCCAACTGTAAGTAAACATTTTTAAAAGTACTAATTTGGCAGTTGGTGTTGTGGTGTCATGGATTAAGCCACCACTTGCATGCTAGCATCCCATATTGGAATTCCAGCTTGAGGACCAGGTACTCCACTTCCCATCCAGCTCTGTGCTGATGCTCCTGGGAAGGCAACAGCAAGGAGAATGGCCAAAGCCTGCCAGCCATGTGGGAGACCAGGATGAAGTTTCTTGCTCCTACCTTTGGCCTGGCTCAGAATTGGCTGTTGAATCAGCGAGCAGATGGAAATTCTTTCCCTTTGTCTCTTCCCTCTCTGTTGCTCTGCCTTCCAAATAAATGGATAAATATTTTTTGCAAGTACTAATTTGGAGAGGACACTAATCATGGGGCCAAAGGGAATAGTTAGGACACATAGCCAGGAAAGTACTCAGAGATTTGTGGGAGGTCTAGATCAATTCTACTAACCCAAAGAGCTCTTGGCTGCATCAGATCTCTGCCCTCCAGCAGGCCAGAAGGATGTTCTTGTTAGAGCTTCTCATTGGAGAAACAGGACAGCAGAGTTCCTCACTACTAAATCTAAATTGTCCCCATTAAGCTGTGGGGAGATACAAAACTCCTAGGACCTAATTTCCTAGTGCATGTGGATTGTGGCCTTTGTGTCTCATTGGAACACAGTGACAGCTAAGAATTCATTATTTTTACCAAAACTTGGTATCCTCAGGTATGGACTCCCATTGATTGTTTAAAAAAATGCTCATGTATCACTTTTTAGATGGCTGTTTTCTGGCACTGAAACAATGCTGAGTTTGCATCCTTCTTTCAAAAGCCTGTTTGATACACTGTGTTCTTAATGTGGACAAAGGAATTTGGATTTTAGTTTCAACAATTGTATCTACTAAGAAAGGTGAAGGAAAGTTTTCTAGGACACTATGTATTCTAAGCAGTATTTTCTATGTTGATTTTTCTACATTTGATCTTAGCCAAAAGGCTGAAAAGCAGTGTGTTTTTTCCTTAATAATAAAACGGAGATACAAGTGACTCTTCAAGCTTAAGAAGGAATGAATTAATGTATTTAAAAATAAGGCAGGGCTTGGCATGATAGTATAGTGGTTAAAGTCCTCACCTTGCACTCCCGGGATCCAATATGGGTGCCGGTTCTAGTCCCGGCAGCTCCACTTCCCATCCAGCTCCCTGCTTGTGGCCTGGGAAAGCAGTGGAGGACAGCCCAAAGGTTTGGGATCCTGCACCCATGTGGGAGACCCCGAGGAGACTCATGGCTTCGGATTGGCTCAGTTCCAGCCATTGCGGCCACTTGGGGAGTGAACCATCAGGTGGAAGATCTTCCTCTCTGTCTCTCCTCTGTGTATATAAGGCTTTCCAATAAAAATAAATAAATAAATCTTTAAAATATTTTTAAAAAACGACAAGATATGGTTTTATTTCTGTCTTTTTTGTTTGCTTTTTGAAGATTTTGCTTCTTTTTATTGGAAAGCTAGATCTATAGAGAGGAGGATATACAGAAAGATCTTCCATCCACTGATTCACTCCCCAAATGGCCAAAACAATTAGAGCTAAGCGAATCTGAAGCCAGGAGCTTCTTCCTGGTCTCCCACACGGTGCAGGGTCCCAATGTTTTGGATTATCCTCTACTGCTTTCCTAGGCTACAAGCTGGATGGGAAGCGGGGCAGCTGGGGTATGAACTGGTGCCCATCTGGGCTGCCAGCATTTGCAGGCAGAGATTTAGCCAATTGAGTTATTGCATTAGGCCCAATAGTTTTATTTCTTACTTGAGTGTTGTGTGTTAAAGTGATACCCATTCAGACCACTGCACCTTGTGAGACTGCTGAAGATGTCTGCAAGGGCTATGAATCCTGACGTTTGCTTATAAAGATTCATACTGGAAGGCAGTCATAGCTCATCAAGAATTTAGATTATCTTTTTAACTTATGAAAATGCTTAACCATACTTAAAATTACAAAGTGTTTTTTTTTTAATTGTGTGAAAGAAAAGTTAGGTTTATTGTGACCTTTTAAATACTTCTATTTATAGTAGCCAAGCATTTTATTAGTCATTCATCAAAACATACTTACTTTAAAATGTTTTCACTTTCAGCTCAATATGTACAATTTGTGTTGACTTTGAATCTTCGATCTTTAGAGCTATTTAGTTTAATGACTCCCTTGAACTTCTGCCCTATCAGTGACGTGGCAGCCCAGCATGTTCGCTGAGTAGACTTTGTCAAGGCCTGGGAAATTCTTAACAGCATAATAACGTTTAAGATAGATGTTTGAAAGAGAATGTGCTATGTTTTTCAGGTCTCAGAACAATGCCAGCCACATTATTTGTGAAGATCGTTTTATAGCACGCAACCTTGACACCCATCTGTATGCAATAAGAAACATACACCTACACACAGACTGTGATAACAGCTCAAATTCCCCACTCACTGCCATGACTGGAGTGCTGACCAGCCTCAGCCTCAGGGCCACAAAACCACTGCTTTTAAGCACTCCTTTTTATTACTTCAAAGCCCTGTGGGGAGGAATAGCTTTAAAAATCTTGGATTCAGTATGTCATGCTCTTGACACCTGACTTCTGATCCCTGCACACTTCTGCTTCGCCTTATAAAATCAGAAGGTTGGACTGGTGAACTTCTAGTTTCATTTAGTTTTACGATACTTGTGTGTTTTGTAATTACAGATGATAGAGTGCCTGTAGATAGGTAATACCAACCATAAACATTAAGAGTTTGTCAGAGTCGTATAGATTTGGATATGAATTCCGTTTCTGTCCATTGCTAACTCTGTATTTGGTCTCAGGCTTCATTTAACCTCTTGGGTCCTGGATTTCTAATCTGTAAATTGGGATAGTAACCACTATCTTTGTTCTGAGGATCAAATGAGACAACGTGTGAAAATACTTAATTCAGTAACAAATACTACGTCTTACTGTGAAATGGAAAAAGTTGCTTAGGCTCCATGAGCAGGAAGACACCGAGGCACCAGGCTCCCTCTCCATCTCTGTGTATTTGCAGTAGGCGACCTTACCTTGAACTTCGTCTGTAAAATAGGCTCTAACAAGAAAACACACAGACTTTGATTTTAAATCAAATGTTGGGTTTTAAATTTTAATAAAATGTGAGCAATATTTCTGAGAGAGATTTAAATAGACATAAATCAATCCATTGCAGGTAATGAAGATAAACATATCCATATATCCTCTTTGCAACAAATGAAAACTGTGACGGAGCAAGTGAAGCAAAATGGAGAGAGCCCTGCATCTCCCCCGGCAGCCAAGCCACCCGAGACTTCGCAGCCACCAGGAGCTTTGCCATACAGCGCCATCCCTGTGCTGACGGGACCCCAGGAGCCTTCCTGTGACTCGGGAATCCTGAAGACACTGTCTCGACGGGATATCCGGGCTGAGATATTCCTCTGGAGTTTTCTGGTGTGGTCTGACACCATAGAGATGGTTCGAGTTGCAGGCCATCCTAATGTGTACAAGACAAACTGGCTATACCCCATCTATTTATTCAGTTTCATTTCTCTCATCCGATTTGTATTCACCCCCAAAAATCCTCTTCTGAACTCCCTGGGTGTCCTGCTGCAGGATTTACCCTTTGTGTTTGTGAGACTTAGTTTGATCATTGTTTTGGGGACAATCACACCTGCCCTGGGCCTTTTTAAGAATGTGCTGGTGACTCTGTCTTATGTTTACTTCAACTACCTAACCAGATTCCGGGTTTTCTCAAGCTTTGAAGTGTCTCCATTCTAAGAAGATGCCGTGTAATGAGACTTCGTTATAGTCATGCGGACATTACAACATTAGTGGGTTTTTTGGGGAGGGATTGGCGCCTGTTTTTGCACTACAGAAGAAACAGAGATCAATTTTTAATGTGCACAGATGGTGCTAAAGTTCAACAAAATTCTAAGAATTTGGTGCCAGATGATCTCTTTCAGAAAATGCTAGTAGTTTTACTTACTTCAGAAAGTTCATGGAGAGTGCATGTTAAGGGAAAAAAAAAAAAAGCTATGCATGGATTTCCAAAAATTTGTTCCAAAATAAACAGGTCTTTAATTCCATTTCTTTCACTGAAATTTAAGTAATCTAATAGACATTTTTCTACATATGCTTTATAATAAATCCTTCTTAAAAAACTGAGAAGATAGTTTTTCACTATGTGAGCACAGCACGTTTTTACCATTTATACAAATGGTAGAACATTACATGAAAATACCCAAAGTTGTTGAATAATGTTTAGGTTTTTTAAAATAGGAAAATTAGACTTTAGAATCTCCTTCAAGCAGAGTTGTGTTCTTCATCCCATTGCAGCATGTGGCTGTTAATTCAGGTGTCTCACTCAGGTTAAGGTTCCGCTGTTGAACCAGAACTGCAGTACTGACGTGAGTTTTGTTTAGTGTAATGAAGTCAAGGTACATCAGTAATAAAGTCTTATATGAGAAGCCATAATCTAAAGATCTGGTTTTCAAATGGTAATATTATTTTATTTGTGGAATTTGATACACCATAAAACTAATTGAGTACAAGCCCCATGTAAAACTGGAAGCTCAATTAGCGCAATGACAATCACCTTAGTTTTATACAGTGCTTCCTCATGACTACCTGAGTGTTTTCAGTTACCTACGTAATCATGGCACTTGCCTTCACACATGTTGCTACGCTCCAGTATTCTGAGCAGGGGAGCTGCATGATGTGGCTTCCCGGGTGCTTTGTAGGGAGCCCATGAGTGTTGTGTCACGATCTGCATAGCCAGTCTGTTCCGTGATCTTTGGTACCAAAGAGCTTGAGTTGGGAAGGGTTCTGAAATGTGGTCCTGCTGTCCACCTGTCTGTCCCCTGCTACTTTTATGGTTTTTCTCATCCTGTAAAGGAAAAGCTAGCTCATTGCCTGCTAGCTTTATGATCTGTCACACTTTCTTCAACTATTGTCTCCCCGCCCTGCCCCTGTGCCCGGCTCTACAAGATGAACTGAAGCCTAAAACCGCTTGAATAGACATGAAAGCATGAGGTCTACTCCCAGATTGCCATATGGCAAACAAGAATAACTATAAAAATGCTAAGCATTGTTATGGTGCCCATCCCTAATAAATAAGAAACTAAATGCATTGCTGTTTGTTTTTCTGATTTATTCTTTCTTTGTGTCCCTGCTTACTTCTGGACAAAGTTTAAACCTTAAATTTGTGAAAAGTAGGCTGTCAAATCTGACCAGAGACTATGACTTTTTATCATCTTTAAAAAATATAAAAAAATGAATCTGTAAATCTTATTGGTACATTAATCTTTTTCAAATTCTGCCATAGTTATCTTTTTTAATAATAAAACCCTATAATTAAATAATTTATGATGTTTCTATGTATAAAATGTTTTATATAAGTGTATATTTATTTTTATGTTGGAATTTATGGAGAAAATGATGCTTACATGAACTCAGAGGTATTCTTGAATTAAGATGCATGTTATGAATGTGGATGTGCCCAATATTTGGAGAAGTAGTAATCTTTTGTGTAAATAATGAAGGAATGCACAACATTGTACATCAGAGGAAAACTACTGAGATGTTAATTTACTGGAGTGTACTTGTGTTTATAAAGTTCTATTCTATGTTGCTAACAGATATCACAAAAAAATCATGCTGACAAAATGTAGAATTGATAGTTCTACATTGCGTGACTGAAACTATGTCATTAAAATTATATTGCAATTATGATAGTTCTAATAGCTTCTAATTCTCATTGTTGTTTGTACTGAGTCATATGATTTTTTTGTTCTGATAAAAAAGTTTCATTTCACTGCTGCATGAAATTTTACATGCTAAAATGCCATGACCTGTAATTGGCTGTATGGTATATTCCAAGTAAAATTTGGAGTCTGACAGCTACATCTTCATTTAGTATCCCACTCATAGTTGGAGGTGAAAGATACATTTGTAAAGCACTCTGTGATGAAACTATTTTGATGCTATTTATTAACATTTCAGTAGATTTTAAATGCCTTTTCTTTCTCAATGTTTGAAATTCCAGTATGTGAGTGCTGCAGACTTATTTTTTTATAAGGCTCTCATTGTACTGCAGTTACGGGTCCCATATCAGAGTGCCTGAGTGTGCCTGCTTGCTGTGGCAGTTGACTCCAGTTGCTTCTAATGCAGACCCTGGGAGACAGATAGGACCTCTTTCCCTCCCTCCCTCCTCTGTCTTTCCTTCCTCCTTCTCTGCCCTTCTTTCCCCTCTTCCTCTTTTTTTCCCTTACCCCTCCATAAATAAATCAAAGATTAAAAACTTTTAAAGGAGCAATACATTGCTTAGAAGCTATAGTATTAACTGAGTTCAGCAGCTCATTTCATCCTGACTCCGACAACGATAATGTGGTCCCTGGGAGGCAGAACTGATGCATCAAGGAATTGTCCTGCCACTGCTGTGGAAGACATGGATTGAGTTCCCGGCTGCTGGCTTCAGTTATAGCTCATCATGCGTTGTGGGCATTTAGGGAGTGAACTGGTGAATGGCAGCTCTTCTGTATCTGTCAAATAAAAACATGAATAGCTATATATATAAAGCCTGTTGAGAGCATATAGTAAATAATAAAAGGAACAACAAAACTGTTGACTATATATAGCTGACACCACTTTATTTTACAAAAGTGGTTATTTTTACATGTTAAGTAAAATTCTACAACTAGGTAAATCTTTGACTGTGATGTTTGGTTCCTTATGGGAGATTGTGTTTACCCAGTTTCCAGGTTCCTGGATGCTTGTCTTCTGTCGTCCGTCCACTCTCTGGATTGATCCTAACACACCAGCAGCAGTCAAGGTGATACAACAGAACAGAGAAGCAAGTGTTCCTGCACGTGATGCAACTTTGAGAGCCAAAGCCACTTGCCTTCAGAAGGTGTCTCAAATCCTTGCTGAGGACATAAATTCATGAATTCCACATTTGCTACCCTTCACTTTATTGCATACAAATTCTATAAGCGTTTACAGATTAAAGGTTTGTAGCAATCCTGTGTCACAGAAGTATGTGAGTACCATTCTCCCAACACCATGTGCTTTGTCGTAAAGGGAGTTGATCCATTCTATAGACTTTATTGCTGTCTTACTTTAATAGCCTGATCCATCAACATCTGTCAGCATTAAGATAAAACACTCCCCAGCAAAAGATGATTGCTCTTCTGAAGGCTCACAGGATTGTTAACAATTTTATTGAGCAATGTATATTTAAACATTTTTTATTTTTATTTGAAAGGTAGATGTACAGAGAAAGAAGAGATAGAGAAAAAGATCTTCTATGCACTAGTTTATTCCCCAAATGGCTGCAATATCTGGAGCTGAGCTGGTCCACAGCCAGGCGCTTCTTCTGGGTCTCACATGTGGGTGCAAGGGCCAACGCCTTGGGCCATACTCTGCTGCTTTCCCAGGCTATAAGTAGGGAGCTGGATCTAAGTGGGGCAGCCAGGATGTGAATTGGTGCGCAAATGGGATGCCAGTGCTATAGCTGGAGAATTGGTGTACTGTGCCACCATTCCAGTCCCCAGAAATATTTACTTTTAAGTTTGGTATGTGTCTTGGTTTTTTAAAGATAGTATCATTGCCTACTTAATATACTATGGTACATTGTAAACGTAACTTACATGCACGGAACAAAAAAAAAAGGAGTGTAACTTAAGTTGTTGCAATATTCACTTCATTGCTGTTGTCTGGAACAGCATCTGCAATATCCCTGAAGTAAGCCCAATGGGTTACCAAAGGCTATGTTGGGCCAGTTCATGACAAGTCAGAAATCAAGTTCATCTTACACAGGGTTGGGTGGGTGTTAGGAGGCTGATGTTTGAGAAATAGAAAGTCTGGGAGGAAATGAAATATTTCAGCAGTTGTCTGATCTACAAAAAAGGAGCATTTCCTTTCATTTTAGTTTGAAGGATAGAGAAGTTAAAAACAGTTATTAGTATCATTAGCTAACAGAAAACAGAACCAAACCAGGTAGAAGAGTGTAAAGGGGAAGGCAAGAGTGGGGTTTTTAAAAGTGTAAAATAGATGTAACAAATCTTATCATTGGCAATCATTTTTAATAATACAATTCATGGTTTGAAGTATATTCAGAATATAAACTGCCACCACTTAATGTTTCCAGAACTTTTAATCATCCCAAACAGAGAATTTGTGCCCACTGAATCAATCCTCTTCTGCCCTTTACCTGTTCCTCCCTACCCCGATGAGCCGTTCTGTCCCTTGTGGACTTGTCTATGCCCACATGCCTCTCATAGTCCTGTTGTGTCTAGCATATTCCACTTAGCCTGAGGTTCAAAGGTTATATAAGTTGTAGCCAAATGTCACAATTCTTTGTTATGACTGCATAATATCCACTTCCAATGTAGTATGGGTACACCACATTCTGTTTCAATATTCATTTGCTGATAGGCACCTGAGTTGTATTGACCTTTTGACCACTTTAAATAATGCTTCTAGACCACTGGTGTGCAAATACAACCCTGTTTCCATTCCTTTGGATGTGTCCCTAGAAGTAGAGTTGCCGGATTATACTTACACAGTAATTGAATGTTTCACTCTGTGAAGGTCTGCAGTACCAACCGAGCTCTTTCCACAGTGCTTCTGCCACTCAGCTGTCCCATCAGCATTGTCAAGAATGTGCTTCTTGGGACTGGCACAGTGATGTAACAGGCACCAGCATCCCATACAGGCACTGGTTAGTGCTCTGGCTACTCCACTTCGGATCTAGCTCCTTGTTAATGGGCTGGGAAATCAGTGGAGCGTGGCTCAAGTTGAAATGTTTTTATTTGGTATTCTTGTTGAATCTGTAAGCTTTAACAATTTATTTTTTTTTAAGTGGAAACTTGAAGACTTCCTACATATAAAATTATGCTATCTCGTAAAGAGAGAGCACTTTACTTTTTCCAATGTGGATTTTGCATGTGTTCTTGCCCACTGCCCTGGCTAGAGTTTCTAGTCTTTATTGAATAGCAGTGATGGAAACTGTGGGAGGCACGTTGGCCTTCAGAACACAGAGCTGTGGAGAACAAAGTGCCTGTTGTCTACCCCGCTCCTGCAAGCTGCACTAGGGCATGCAGCAAAAGCCACGCTCTCAGCCACCCAACTGAAGACGGAAATAAGGAGGATGGGAGCTCCTATTACAAGTGAAAAGTGAGACTCCTTTATATCAAGCTTTCCCCTTCAGACTCCATGTTTTGGAGTAGACTCGCAAGCTCTCAGTTACTCCCACACAGTGCCTGCCAGTTCAGTGGTTGTTCAGGCAGAGGGCTGGATTCCTCAATCTTCCTTCATAATGCTCCCCCAAGAGTTGAGGTTCTTCCTTGTCTTGGTCACCTCTTAAGGCCTGACAACTCTTCATTTCAAAAAGGCCAAAGAGATTCTTATTTCCTCTGTGAGACAGTTGGCTACACTTTCTTCCCAAGCTACAGATTTTACCACTGCTTCTGATTTTTAATTAAGCAACTGTGATATGGCACAACCGTGTAACTAAAATACATTCTGAATGTGAATGTAGACTTAATCAAATTTTGCTTGCTTCTGAAATAGTATAAATTCAAATTCTGCAGGGCTTTCTGAAATGTATATGACTTATTTACATTTAAAAGCCACAAATGGCTCACTTAAAATATTGCTTATGATAAAGCAGCAAAACAATGTTTTAGAATGAAGCAGTTTGGTTCCATCTATTCTGAATTCTGTGCCCAATTTTTTTATTTTTGGTCAGGCAAGCATTGCTTTAGTGATTAAGAAACTTTGGTCATCATTCCTACGTTTTCACCAATCTTTCTCTTCATTTAAGAATAATCTTAACTTTAGAGTGTTAAAAAAAGTAATAGAACTATATTGTATTTTTTTTAAATTAGGAAGTATATAACTTTATTGTAAGAATGTTAAATCAGGGCCTGACACGGTAGCCTAGTGGCTAAAGTCCTTGCCTTGCATGCACCAGGATCCCACATGGGTGCTGCTTTTTGTCCTAGCCACCCGGTTTCCCATCCAGCTCCCTGCTCCTTGGGAAAGCAATAGAGGATGACCCAAAGCCTTGGGACCCTGCACCCCTGAGGGAGACTCAAAGGAAGCTCCTGGTTCCTGGCTTCGGATCAGCTGAGCTTCAGCCATTGCAGCTACTTGGGAAGTGAATCAGCGGATGGAAGATCTTCTCTTTCTCTCTTCCTCTCTGTAAATCTGACTTTCCATTAAAAATCAATAAATCTTTAAATAAATGTTAAATCAAGTTGACCATGTGAAGATGAAGAATCCATTTAAAGTTACAAAAAATAATTTACAATGTTTCCAACAGCTGTTTGCTTTCTGCTTTTCCTAACATTTCCCACACTCTAATTATGTGTCAACCCTGCAATCATTATCTGCTTCAAAATGCTAACTCATGCTTTATCTGAAAAGTAACAAAATTGATGAGGGGTGAGGTAATACTGTGCTTAATGAAAAGGTCTATTGACATTTTTTCTTTTAAGAAAGATATCCACTTGCTATGAAGTTGTTATATATTGCTTGACTAAACGAACTAATTTCCTTCTTCCAGCATGAAGACCCTTCTAAACTTGAAGAGGACTACTGCAGAGTTTTTGCCACTATTTTCTTTTCTGTTTAGAGAACTTGCTGGGGAAAGTTGCTACAACTTTCTCACTTTTGGCTTTATGGAGATTCTCTCTTTGGTGTAGGCTGTTTTGCTTTTCTAGCTAGAGGAGCAAAGCTCCCTGTGAAGCTTTGCAAGAAAAAAGGCAACTATATGCCCCCACCCCACCCCGCAAAATATCCAAAAACACTGTGCATGAAGAATGCTTAAGTGAAAAGCTCCATCACAAAGCTGTGCCTTTTGGTATCTGCCTTACTATACCTCTAGAGTGGGTGTTGTCTGCCGAGGACCCGTGTAATATCCTGCAGCTTGGGCTCCACCCAACCCCAATTGAGGCCTGAGGCCAGAAAGCCCTCAGCTGTTTCACTTCTCTCCTTTCCGGCAGGCAAACCTGGTCTCCTGCGGGTCACCATGGCCTCCTTGGCCCCCTCCCCCTCCCCACCGTCACCCCTCTCCTCCACGTGTCCCTTTCTTCCTCTGAATCTGCCCTTCACTCACAAGTTAGCTTACAAAGCAAAGTTGTAACTTTGAATTCCTGTTTTTCCAACCACCCTCATGTGACAGGATATCTCCTTATTGGAGGCTTTCCCTAAATTCAGGAGCCCTTTAAAAGGGAGAGCTTCCTCAGCACATCTTTCCAGCCGCGGCAGCTCTGAGAGCATGGCCTAGGTGGAAGGCAGCTCAGGGGTTCCCACTGCTGCATCGTGTTCCTTCCTCCTCCTCTCCAACTCTGGCAGGAAAGACAGCAGGGCCATGAAGCGATCGCTGCTCCTGGCTTTTGTCTCTGTCCTTCCCGTTGCAGTTCAGCTGCTGGGTAAGTCTGCTGTGAGGTGGGGCTCTCTGCGCTGGGTGCCTTAGCATGCCTTCTTGTCCAAGCTGAATGTTACTGCAGTGTTGTCCGCACCTGTGTGAACCGGCCAATCCAGCTTCCTGGCACTACAAGTTCTCTTGGTGAAACCCATTGTCTCTAGCTGGCCTCCGGAACCTGAGGCTGCAACTTCCCAGGTGTCAGGGGCTGCTTCGCTCTGAGCCCCCCAGAACCTCTGTCCTCCCACACCTTCTCTCATCTCTCCACTGTCCTTCCCTCATTTTATTTGCTCAGGAATTTCCTGCTCTGTGGTTTCCTCATTCTGTTTTTCAGTTCGCAGTATTTCCATACAATTCCCCACAAATAGCTTGGGAGTCTGGCTGAAAGGGGGGCAGTTTGGCATCCCCCTACCCCTGGTATTAAGGACAGGGTCACAGGTCATTCCCCAGAAGGGAGCTGTGCTACTCACACACCTGTTTTCTGTGAACCCTTTAAGCCCTTGATAGCTTTTGTTGATAGCAAGTTCACCCTTACTAGTATTTTAATTGTTTAAATTACTGCATAAGCTGATTTATTCCTTGTTTTGTCACTTTTTCTGGACAGTAGTGATTACTCATTAAGAATAGATTTAGATATTTTCAAATTCTCAAAGACATTATTGAATCTTTGCTGCAGCTGTAAACTCAACCTATTTAAACTTCTGCATGAATTAAAGATTTCTATTCCTTATTTAATTTAGACAGGATATAGAAGGACTCCAAATTTGATTTTTGATTTCTTATCCAAGTTCTTCTATATCAAATCAACAAATACTAGTTGAACACCTTGCGTGCCAAAAGCTCAGCTCCATGTAGGGCTGTGAAGGTGGGGCCGGAAGCTTCCTGATGAAACACTATTTGACGACAGACACGGGTCAATAAAGTATGCACTATGGAGCAGTGATTATAAAAAACTGCAATCAAAGCTTTATGGTTTACTCTGCTGCTTAGTAGCTCTCTCCCGGTGTGAGCCACTTCATAGCTTGGTGCTCAACTCTGCAAGTAGGGAGGTGAATAGTTTTGTGTTGATGGGTCAATGAGTAACAGCGTGGAAATCATTTACAACATATTGTTGTTAGCTTTCCAGGTGTTAGCTATACAACTCTTCAAAAAGTTGTGGAAAATGCGATAAAAAAGTAGCATCTATTTTTCATGAACTCTCGGAAGACCACTAATATGGAACTGTGTGTCTTTTCCTCAACAGTCATTAATTGTCCCATAAAGCAATGCACGAAGCGTTTAAAGGACAAGTCTCCCAGAAAACAATGCTTCAATTGTAGCCAGGAGATGTTTTACCCTAGCCCTGACTATAAAGTGGTTCTTTCAATTACTGAAGGGTGTGGAGTGGGTGTTTGCCCTCACTCCTGTTCCCTGTCTGAGTGCTTGCACCCCGGCTCCGTTAAAGTAGATGGGTACCTGCCACTCTCTACTAGGAGGGGAATGATGCTACTGTGGATAGACAACCTGAGGGGCCCATGGCTTTGCATAAAGCAGGTGGGTAGGTGTTACTGAGGGAAAGAGCCGAAGCTCCAGAGAGTGCATTGTGGAAGTCAGTGAGCAGGTAGCTCTTGTCAGTGGTCCTCTCAGAGCCTTGGGCAGACATTTATCAGTCAGAGCATGCTGCTCAGGAAAGGCTTTGGGGAACAACAGTACAAGTGGATTTCTGGGAGGTTGTATCAAACAAGACATGTACAAATTCTTGAATTCTATATCAATGATGAGTTTTCAAAAAGCTCATGGAAATGTACATTGTGATAAAAATGCATGGCTTAAAATTTCTTCAGCACCAAAATCATCTTTTAATTCCATTTTCTTACAACATTTTGAAATATTTTTTGTATGTCAAAAGACGGGCTTTGATTTCTTTATATCATTTGTCGGAGCTCTTAAGAGGGGAAAGCAGGGAGATCATATTTATCAAGTCTTAATCATCTGCACAAATACATGCTGGCCACTTTACATAAATTGCCCATTTAGAAGTTCACTTCAGGGCCCCACAGGGTGGCCTAGTGGCTTGAACACACTAGGATTCCATATGGGTGCTGGTTCATGTCCCAGCTGCCCTGCTTCCCATCCAGCTCCCTGCTTGTGGCATGGGAAAGCAGTCAAGGACGGCCCGAAGCCTTGGGACCCTGCACCTGTGTGGGGAGATCCAGAAGAAGTTCCTAATTCGTGACTTCAGATCAGCTCAGTTCTGGCCATTGCGGCCACTTGGGAAGTGAACCAGTAGATGGAATACCTTTATGTCTCCCCTCTGTGTATCTGACTTTCCAATAAAAATAAATAAATCTTTTTAAAAAGTTCACTGCAAGTGTAGCAGAGGTGGAGGTTTTGTTTTTATTTTAAACATATGGAAACTGAAGTGAGATGAAGATGTTTCCTTTAACGAGGGTAAAGCAACCTCATAGCATCCATGTCTTCATCACGCCCACCACCACCTCTGATGCTCAAAGTGCCTGGCTTCTGTTCACACTTCCTCAGTCCTTCTGCTTGGCTACTGCCCAGGGAGGAGCACTGGAAAAATTTTATGGGCTCCATTTTCTTCTTCAAATCAGACCCTATTTAAAAAAAATCTGTTTTTATTTCAAAGTCAGATATATAGAGAGGAAGATCTTCCTTCCGATGATTCACTCCCCAAGTGAGCGCAATGGCCGGTGCTATGCTGATCAGAAGCCAGGAGCCAGGAGCCTTCTTCAGGTCTCCCACATGGGTACAGGGTCCCAAGGCTTTGGGCCATTCTCTACTATTTTCCCAGGCCACAGGCAGGGAGCTGGATGGGAAGTGGAGCTGCCAGGATTAGAGCTGGCTCCCATATGGGATCCCAGTGCATTCAAGGCGAGGACTTTAGCCGCTGGGCCATGGCGCCTGGCCCCAGACCGTATTTTGAATTCATATTTGTTTCCCAAGGGCCAAGTGCAACAGTGTAAATTATTAGATTTGCTTTATATTTGGTGGACTACAGAAACAAAGCGATTAAAAACTAAAGTAACTCTCTGTTTCCTGGACCGCCCCACCAGCAGCAAGCCCAGCTTTGTACATATTCTAGATGCACCACTAGTTCGCTTCGTTTTAGTTCCTTTGGTGGTGGTGGTAGGGGGATACAGGTAGGGGATACATACAAACATACTGGTTTGTATGTTGAGGCTGATGCACATTCAGTATTTCTTGGTCTGGGCTCCCCCAGAGGCTGACCTTTACAGCTGCACTCTGATGTGAGTCAAGTGGTTTCTTTTTTGGTAGGCAATCCCAGGAAACACCGGCAGGAGTATGGGGAAGTGAGACAGGAAGAGGGTGGGCATGTTGCCAAGCAGTGACCACTGTGAGCAAGAGAAGCTCAGGGCTTGGAAGGCTCTGAGTGACAATGTGGTGTATGTGCCTGAGCCGCGCCAACCAAGCCCCAGTCAGGCCTCGGAGGTTGTCAGTTCTTGCTCACTGCTGAGAAGTGCTCCTCCGAGGAGACTTTGGCCCTCGGACCCAGCTGGTCTGTGCCACGTGCAGGTAGAGGGAGCTCTGATGACAGGATGAAAATTCCAGGTCTTAGGATGAAGTGCTGCCATTTGGGAGTGAAGCCGGCAAAGAAAATGAGTCATGTCTGACTGATTCTGTTACAAAATACTTACATGTCTGTCTGTTTGCCAGCTGCTACTTTAAGAAGATTGATTGATTGATTGATTGATTGATTGAAGAGTAAAAGGATAGAGGAATGGAGAAATGAGGAAGAGTGAGAGAGGGAGGGAATAAAGAGACAATATGAATGTGAATCTTGTGTCCGTTAGTTTATTCACCAAACAGCCATGACAACCATGACTGGCTCAGGCTGATGTCAGGAGCCTTGAACTCCGTCCAGGTCTCCATTGCGGGTACAGGCACCCAGATACTTGGGCCATCTTCAGGCACCTTGCATTAGTATGGAGTTAGGTCTAAAGCAGAACAGTTAGGACCTGAATCAGTGCTTTGAAATGGGATGCCTGAATTGCAGGTGGCAGTATAGCCCAGGGTACCACAATACCATCCCCAAGCTTCTTGCCTTCCAGAAGTTACTTTCCTGTGTGTTTTGATATCGGCATTCTGTATGTTGATAGTGGACAGTCTAAACACATAAAGCCACATTCTTCAATAATCGTCATGTGTAACCTATTTTATTTTGCTAGCAGGTTTTGCAAGTTTAATTACATATTTAATGTTAGGGAATAATTTTAAAATGTCAAAACATGCATGAAAGAAAATTCATGCCAACATTATTGGATGGTTAGTCTTCTGTTACCTGACATGCTGAGGTGAAAGTTTTTGCATCTTTCCCAACTGTAATTTTGTCCCTGCTCTTTCTGCCCTGAACCTAATCATGGTAGAGTTAGTTCTCTGTGTGGGTGGGGAACATCTGTCTCTGGTTTGGCTTTGTATTGTCATTAGCAAGGTGCCTGGCACATAGTAGGGTTCACTCTTATTGGCTGAAAAACAACTGTAGCATCAGTTAGATCAAGTGAACATGGAGGGAGGATCAGTTCTGTACATATATTTCTGATGTATAAACATTAAAAAGAAGACAAATCCCAAGAAAACAAGATCTACTTATCAAGTCCCATAAATGAGACCACAAAGAAATGAATATAACTCTCTAGCTGTCCTCATTTTTTTTCAGTCTTGAAACGTTAATATTTTGATAATTAGTATAGAAAAAAATTACAATGTTTACAAACATAGCACATTTAGTGTGGCTAATAGTTGCAAAAATGCCAAAGCTGTCTGTCTTTAGGTCAAGGTCTTCAACATTTTTTCAGAGGAAGTATGATATTTTCAATCAGATACATTGCACAGAGACAGCAATAAAAGTTAAGTTACATGCTGACAACTTGAAGAGGAAAATAATTCATGAGAGCATCAACAGAGTGATCATTATCTGTTTCCTTGCATTGTCAACATGGGCAATATCAAACCTACACTGCTTCCTAATGTCTAAAGATAAACAAAGGAAATTAGAATGATGTGTGGATTCTAATACAAGTTTTTCATTTCCACGTATCCTTTTCATCATTGCAAATGTTTACCAGTTGTTCTTTGTGAGAATCAACTTTTAAGGGGAAAAGCTAAAGAGACTCACAATCAATAACTTGTTACTGAAAAATCTATTTGGATAATTAGTCAAGCTGCTTCAATATAATGAATATTCTTGGAATCATTCAACTCATATTTGTGAGACACAACAGTACTGAACCAGGACAATCTAGTTCCTCTTTATATGCAGCATATATTCCCGCAGATGGATATTGATAACACATAAGTAAACAAATGATGATTTAAGATAGTTATAGATAGTCATTGCATGTCTATAGAAAAATCCAAGAGTGAAATGAAGGTAGTCGGCTCTGTATGGAGTTGATGATTCATCTGGGACCTTAATAAGCATGCCTAAAAGAGAGAACTCAAAAGGTGAAATCATTGAAGTAGAAATGAGCCTGGAGTGTTCGAGGGATGAAAGGTGACATGTTTGGAATGTAGTAAGTGAGAGTAAATGGGTGAGTCATGTCCTCATGAATTAGCTGTGATACGTGAGAGCTTGGAGTTTGGTTTTTGGTGGTAGTGGTTTTTCCTAAAACTGTGGCATTACTCTTGAAAACTTTCAATTGTTGGAGGCCTAGAGTGAGAAAGCAAGCATCCTCTCAACTTAGAAACCTTTCTCACAAAGTAGAAGATAAAGGAGGCAGTTTTGTAATTGAGTAGGCATTCAACCAAATGCAACATTCATCGCAGGCAAACTGCTAAGAACTGCGAAAGCCGAATGAAACCTGACTCTTTTATGATGTTCAGGAACTACTGCATATTACTTTTGGAGTCAAGTGACAAGACAGTCCCATTTTCTCTTGGGAAACTGGCAGAGCTTTTACCTTGATGATGCCATTCAAAGACAGCAGGATCAGACGGGCAGTGGGGTTGGAGAGAAGGGGATAGGTGAGAGGTCATGTGTGTTAGAGTGCTCTGGAGGAACAGAACCATCATATGTAGGGCAGATGAGTCGGTGAGAGGGATTAGAGCTCTTCAAAGACAATTAGGCTGGAAACTCAGGAAAGCACTGCTTTGCATTGGAATCATGGTAGTCCAAGGGAACAATTCCTTTTCTCTTAAGGCCTCAACTGATTGGATGAGGTCTGACTACATGGTAAGGAGTAATCTGTTTTACTCAAAGTCTACTGGTTAAAGTGATAATCTCATTTGAAACAACGACAGTATTCAGACTGGTATTGAACCAAACATGTGGGTACTATGGCCTGGTGAATTTGATGTGTAAAATGAACCATTGCTGTAGATTTTTGGGTAGAGAAAACACATTCCACTCTAAAGTGTTGGAGTACTGAGGTTCTTGGACAACTCTGAGTAACAAAATGAAATCAAATATGAGAAGGAGGTTTGATCAGACACTGTGTGTTTAGGTGACAGATATCATTTGCAGAGGTAATGGAAGTGTTCTAGATCCAGGCTTTATTGAGTCCTTATTAAAAAGCAAACAAACAACAAAACAAACCACACATGAGTAATACAAGTGAGGAAAACTGATATTTTCAAGATAGCATAGAAATTAGGAATCTGGGAATAATAGATGCAGAAGTCGTAAAAGTTTGTAAGCAAAAGCGGATATAGGAGCTCATTGGGAAAAAATAGTCATCAGAAGCAAAGATTCAGTATAAACTTCAGGTGCATGGTTCTAGAACTGACCCCAGAGTGCAGGTGGTGCTCACCTCACTGGGACTGAGAACAGTACATGGCACATGACATGTAGGGGTTCTTTATAAACTGTGCTAGGGCCCAATTGTGTAATTTTCAATGAGGGTATTTTACTAAGATGGTTTGAATACAAATCATGAGCTCATTTAGACTCTCAGACATCTGCAATGCTGCCAGCTCATTTTGGTAAGTAGAAAGAATTGAGGAAAATTTGGCAGAAGTAGTTACTTCATATTATTTTGCAAATTATATGAAAGCCAGTTGCTTTCATTTGTATATTTCTTAAAAATTGAAAGAGAAAAAATTTTAATGAATTTAGTTTTGATATAAGACAAAAATAATGCTTACCATATCCTTTCCCTCTTTTTCTTTTTGTAAGAGGAAGTCTGGTTTTGCCAGCCAGCAGCTAGATACTATGAGTATGAGCCATTCATACGTATTTGTTTAGCTCACCTGGCCCAACATTATAAGTATAGAGAAGATTTTTCATAAGATATTAACTCCTGTGATACACAATGTTTACGTTTAATTGCAAATGTCACAAATTGTTAAATATTAAAATGCATCTTTGTATCTTTGCTTTTGTAAGGATTATATTGAGTGTACCAATGAAATGAAAGGTAACATAATACAGTAGATGCTAACTTGTCTCTAGATGCTGCATCTGAACTTGGTACCTACTGCTATAAGGGAAAAACAAAGCCAGAAACTTTGAGTTAATCTGACCTAGGATACCAAGAAAACATTTAATTAAGAAATTTGCAAAACATGAACACAAAATTTATGTGAAGTGAAATGTGCTCTTTTGGACTTACTGATGAAGATGCGAGTTAAATGCCTGCGTGCCCTATCAGAGTATGTATGTCTGAGTCCCAGCTCTGATCCTGATTCCAGCTTTCTGTCAGTGCCCACTGTGGGAGGCAGCAGATGACAGCTTAACTAGCTGGGTCCCTGCCATTCACATAGGATACCTGAATCAAGTTCCAGGCTCTGGGCTTCCACCCCAGCCCAGCGTTGGTCACTGTAGACATCTGGAGATGCAGGCTCTCTCTGCCTCTGTTTAAACAAAACAAAAACTCTGGTGCTTTTTAAAAAAAAGAATAATTATATCTATATTGCATCAATATTTGAAAGGTGGGTCAGGATATTTCATACTTTAAAATCTTATTGTGGAAAGCACATGTCAGGCAAAAATTAGGCATGGATTTCAATATTTTTGTACCAATATAAACCAATCTTAAAATTTGTTTTCCACAAACTTTTTGAAGTATGTTTGTGTGTATCTCATTTACACGATTACATGAAATTACCTGAATTTCCTTTTCTTGGATTGATATTATTCCTTTTCATAGTCTTTCACATTCACTCCACTATGCCCATTAATATGATCTTAAGTGGTCCTCTTCATAAAGCTCCTTCTAAAGATTAAGGCTTACCCCATGGCTGGTGCTCAAGCCAGACCCTCTCTCCAATTTTAGTCCTGAAGGGAGCTGAGTTTGTCCAGTCAGGGTCACCTTCATCTCATTTCTTGTAATTATAAATCTTTTCGGGGAAATGGAAGGTTGAGAACTTCTGACCTAAAAGTTTTTTCCTTGCTTCCTGGACTTAACTTGAGCATGCTTTCTTCTTTTTCACAGATACGAGGCACTTTTTAATCTATAATGAAGATCACAGGCGCTGTGTGGAAGCCATCAGTGCCAACGCAGTCCAAACTGCAGTTTGCAACCAGGATTCTGAGTCACAGAAGTTCCGATGGGTGTCTGACTCACACATCATGAGTGTTGCACTTAAACTATGCCTCGGTGTGTCATCCAAACAGGACTGGACTCCTGTCTATCTGTATAACTGTGACCCAAAAAGTGAAGTTCAGAAATGGGAGTGCAAAAATGATACACTTTTTGGGATCCAGAATGAAGATTTATATTTTAACTATGGCAATAAACAAGAAAAGAATATTATGCTGTACAAGGGATCAGGTTTGTGGAGCAGGTGGAAGATCTATGGAACCACAGATGATCTGTGCTCCAGGGGTTATGAAGGTAAGAAGCTGAGTAGCTGGTACTCTTGCATTACATTGCTCTCATCTTCTTGGCTAGAAACCAATTTGAGAAAATAAGCAGTTTGGTCTGTTCTAAAAATACTGATTGATCACCTGCCCTTGCTTTTTAATTATCTTTTATTCTGTGACAACATGATGGTAAATATATTTGGTTCAAAAGTTGTGAATGATGCTTTAGTATTTTAATTATTAGACAGCATTTCTTTTACATTTCTTTAAATTTTTAAAACTATGGGTTATAATTTTTAGAAAAGAATTTCATTGTAGTCTTTGACCTAAAGCCTCCTATTTGCCATTGTAACATTGTAGTGGAATAAACGTGATTAGATTTCCCTTTTCCTTTGGCTTAAGCTATCCCAGAAGAAATATTTCTCAGAACAACATTAACCTGTTCAAATTGCCTAAAATGAAATTTCTGCAAACCCCTTCACAATTTGGGTTTCTTAATGTTTCTAATTTCTTTTGCCACCCCATTGGAGGTTTGAAGACTATAATAATCAAAAGATTAGGAAGTCTGAGGAATCAATAAGTTAATAGGCAACTGATTTTGTTAGTAACCTTAGAAAATGGTAGTAGAAAAGGATATTATTTGTTGTCGGTCCTTGAGGTCCTGAAGTTGAAATAAAATTCAATAATTTAGTCTTGTTCAAATTTCATTCTCTGGTGACTACCTGAGAAATAATAAAAAAGAACTTCAAAGTTTTTATAATGGCTACTTTGGTACATCTGATGATGTTCCAACCCCATTTCAGATTTTGGGTACTTCGTTACTGTGAAATGTTGTCTAAAACTACCTCAAGGTCAGCAAAGGGACCTGTCCTTGGGAATAAGCTATTCCCAGTTTCCAACATTACCGTGTTTAGGGCTGCTGTAATTGGCCAAACCTAGCTTATCACAGCTAAGAAACAGCGTAGGAATTCCTGTCAACTTTCCATTTGACATGGATATAAGGAGTTGGGAAGAATAGCGATTGAAGGAGAGTGAGAGCTCAGAAAGGAGTCATCAGAGGCCTTAGTTCAACAGGATCTAGGGTTTGAAGCTATAAGAGAAATAACCTCAGGAACACAACCAATAGAATATGATAGGGCAGGACAAGGGTGAAATCAGCTTGCCTGCAATTCTGTAGTTGTGCTAATTGAGCAATTCAACTTAAGAAAGATTGGTGCAAAGACATTAGACTTGCTTTATTTTAGAATTTAATGTGTCTGTCTTTCACTTTATTTGTCTTGAGATAACATGCACAGGATTTAGGACAATGGTTTTCAAACTTATGCTTAAGAATCATTTGGAAACCTCATTAAAAATACAATCCCCAACTCCCCTTCTCACCCCGTTTAAATTAGCACATGAGGGGAGTTATTCAGGAATTTATTGAAAACAAATTCATTTGCGAAAACTTGAGGATCCTGGTACAGATGGCATATTGACCACATTTTTGCTTATTGTTCAGTGTTATCCTCATATTTAGTGTAAATCGTGACAGTATCTAGTCAGAGTGAACTTGACCTCATGAACTCCCATATACATTGGAACTGAAGAGCATTAATAGGAGGTGGGGCAAAGGATGGCTGAGACTAAGAATTATTTTAGAATATTGAAATAAGAATTATAGACCTGCATAGATTTAAATTTTGTCTGGAAGTTTGGACCATAAAAGGAAAAGTAAATTGACCACAGCTACTTGATTCTCCTGGGTGGCTCTCTGGAAATTGGTTCTATTGGCCTCATCAATGCCTGGTGATTGAATGCCTCAGAAATAATCAGATAAATACTGTTAGTCCCTAAATGGTCATTGCTGATTGGCATCTATTAATATAAGTTAAACTTTCTGGTCAATTTATGGTAGAGTAAAATCAGCCCTCAGGTGAGCTTATGGATCTTTAGCAACAAGGAATGCTTACCCCTCTTTCTGCTTCCAGTGCGTTTGTTATACAAAATGTGTTCTGGAAGCCTTGTTTTATAACTTGGTGTAACTAAAGGTTAAGTAGCATTTTAAAGTTATCAACTAGCTAACTGAAGGCCGATGAAAAAGTGGATAAAATGGACCTAGTGCATTAATGAGGGCTGATAGGTAAATGAGTGGAGAAAAATGAAAAAAGAAATTTGCATGTTTTATTTAAGAATTTAAATAAGAAAGTACATGTGCCCTTAATATATGCTTGTGATCTATAAACTTTATTTTACCTCAATAATGAAATGTCTTTTAAGAAATTTACATTTCATAGATTCTAAAACTTCAATCAAGGAAAGAATTCCTACTAGAATAGACAGGATTTTGATCCATTAAGGCACATGTTCGAGTGCTTCAGTGTGAAAGGTTCTATAAAGACAGAAACTTTAAGCATTCTGAAGCTTTTAGCAATGGAAGAGTTCTGTCTGTCATTGGAATTGCACATGAGTGTCTCCAGTTCTTTTGGATTAGGTCAAACTATAATTAACAACGATTCTATGTTTTCTTCAGTTTTCCTTGCTGGTGAGACATACCTTCCCATGTAGTTTGTTTTTAATTCATCTTTCAAGAAGATGAATATTAGTTGTAGAGGGCATCTAATGATTTTGAGTGGTTTCTTTACATAATGTGAATCAGAACTGTGCATCTCGAAGTCGTCACTCAGAGCCTCAAGATGGTGCTAGTCTGACAGTAAGTGGTTGAAAGGATTTACTATCAGCTTGGGGCCGAACAGCTTTATGGTTATCTTCCTTGTGAAGATTCACTCTTTTTTTTCATTCTAACCAAGAGGAAGGATGATCTGTTCTCTGCTGGGAAAAGTGCAGAAGTTATTGGGGTGTCAATAGTGCTGACTACTGTTGCCTAACAGGATGAAGGGAAATTTATTCCAAAAGAGCAGAAATAACTCAAGTTACTCCTAAGTACACACTGCTGAGTATCCTCAGCATAAGTGGGAAAAGAAAAGGAATTCCCTGGGTGGGAACAACAGGTGTGAACAGAAGGGTAAGACAAATTCCTTTAGTATGTTTCCTACCAAAGTTGTTATTCAGAAGCATCACTCATTCTAAGTGCAAATCTATGTGTTTCTGCAGCCATGTATACACTACTGGGCAATGCAAATGGAGCAAGCTGTGCATTTCCATTCAAGTTTCAAAACAAGTGGTATGCAGATTGCACAAATGCTGGCCGTTCAGATGGATGGCTCTGGTGTGGAACCACCACGGACTATGATACTGATAAGCTCTTTGGATTCTGTCCAATGAAATGTAAGTCACTGCTTTTGTCTGGGATTTGACACATTCATTATGAGAAAATAATTATAAGACCCTGCATTGGGTTACAGCAGCTCTTTGTGAAGTGTTTTTACCTTTATTGTTTTATTATATTCTATCAGAACATTGTAGTGCAGTCATGTCAAATAAATGATACCGTTATCATGTAGTGTGAACGCACCGGAACAGGTTCTTGCTGTTCTTTCCATACTTAAGAATCTGTAAGAGAGGCTGGTATCGTGGCACCACAGGTTAAGCCAGCACCTGCAACACCATCATCCAATAAGAATGCTGGTTCAAGTTCCGGTTTCACACATGTGGGAGACCCCGTTGGAATTTTAAGATTCTGGCATTGAGCTGGCGTATTCCCAGCCATTGAAACCATTTGGAGAGTAAACCAGTGAACAGAAAATCTCTTTATTTCTATCTTTCCCTCTCTCTAACTGCATTTCAAATGATACAAATAAATCTTAAAAAAAAAAAAAGAATCTGCACAGAGGCAGTGCAGCAAGGTGCAAGGATTGGGAGGCAAGGCTGAAGCGAAGAAAGAGGGGGAAGAAAAGAGTTCCTTAATTCAGCTTCCTTGACTCTAACATGCTGTCTTTGCTGCCGCTGCCTCTCCCACCCCATCCCATTCCAAACACCTTCCCTCCTGCTACCTTTTGCTTCTTCAGAGTGCCTTAGAGCAGCTTTAGTTCCCTGGCATCACCCAGAGCTTTTACTTTTGTTCCCCTCCAACCCCGCCCCGGCAAAGGGGCAGAACAGGGGAAAGCATCTGGGTAGCCTGGATGATATGAGGCTGCCAACACTACCAGCATTAACACAGCATCACTCATAAGAAAAGTTTTGTCACCACAGATCTGTATATAAACATTTTATTCTAAGCCTTATTATAAAACAGAACAACTTAAAATAGTAGCTGTCAAATTAAAGCCAACTTCTAACAGTGTACTTACTTGTCTCTGCTTTATAATCCCTTAGATTCCTGCTAAAAAGAAATTTGATCTCAACCCTCTGTAAGGTTGTAAACATCTTCTGCACGCAGTCCCCTTGTCCTTGGAGAAGGCTCACAAAAGCTCACAGGCTCCACATTTGTAGGGATGCTGCTCACCTGGTCTTGGTTGAGGTCTATGTATTTGCCTTTACTATATCAACCTTTACAGATCTGCTTTCCATTTGAGATTTATAGATCTTCCTTCCTTCTTTTCTTTTCTTTTCTTTTTTCTTTTCTTTTCTTTTCTTTTCTTTTCTTTTCTTTTCTTTTCTTTTCTTTTCTTTTCTTTTCTTTTCTTTTCTTTTCTTTTCTTTTCTTTTCTTTTCTTTTCTTTTCTTTTCTTTTCTTTTCTTTTCTTTTCTTTTCTTTTTTTTTTCGTAAGAAGTTGTTGTCTGCAAGACCTGAACTTTTGTCCAAAGGATTCAATGTTGTCTTTTAGTGATCCAGGAGTGTGTTCATTCTTGGTTTAGCAGGGATCAGAGTCTCTCATCCTGCTAGCCTTCAGTGCTTAGGGGTATGTATTTCATGAGTCTTGACTATAAACCATGAAATGGTTGGCAAAGTGAGGCTGACAAGGGAATTCACAGATGTACATGTACTTGAATGAATGAATGTGACAGCAAGTGGAAGTCACTAAGCCACACACACACACACACAAAATACAGCCTTAGATGGACATATGGCAGAAAAATACCCTACGATCAATGGAATATCTTCCTTGTCCTGTTCTTGTAATTGATGCCTTCACAGCCAATATGTATTGTTTTTCTATTGTGAACATTAAAGTACTGCTTGATTTCAATGCACATTAAAACTTAAAGCACCTTTTATCCATTTCATACTTTTAAAAAGGGTTTTGTGATTTTTTCAAGCCCTTTTCTGGTGATTTCAAAAGAACATTTTATTTTATGATAACTTTAAACTAGCAGATTCAATCCAGGGAAAATGAGGAACCAGTTATTGACCTAGTGACACTTAGTATAAGCTGTTCATTGTCTTTTGCCTTGTTTGTTTCAATGTTTTCCTTTTATTTTGACATTCATTTTCAAGTAACATGAGAACAGGAAAAGGAAAAGACCCTGTTGTCTCAGTTCTCTGTAGCTTGCAGCTTTAACTTTTAGCATGGCTGTGCTGATGGATGTGGGAATGTGAACACTTTGCGGGGGTGTACACTCAGCAAGTCCATGCCTTCAGTGAGAAATAAGTATTAATTCCTGAGCTTAAAAGTGAAAACTCTGCATTCTTTAAATGAAGAGTCAGTTGCATTTTCTGCTTTGGTCATTTACATTCCTTTCTTTTGTGTCTGGACAAGAAAATACTGCTTGACTTTAATATTCACATGTTTTTTCCCCTGTTATAAACAAAGCCATGAAAAATTTTAAAAAATTATTTAAAACATATCCATCTTAAAATAAACTCCATGTAAATTTCATTTGGACGTTCTTACTTTTATTGCCAGTAAACTTGACAGGTCTCAGGTTATTATGATTTAGCATTACTGATTCAACCTTATTTTTTATATAAACATGTTTAAAACATACATGTTTAAAACATCTTTCTGTGCCATTACTAGAGTTGCATGCTGATATGCCTTCCTCTTCTACGTGCTATAGGACCTCAAGTTTCATAATCCGTGGTGTGGGTGTGTTTGACTAAAAGGTCATGGTGGTTTCCTCCGCAGGAACATGGCATGGTTAGGTACATTAGTGAAATTCACCGCAATGCAGACTGAATGTTTATGGGAAATTGCCTGATATCTTAGCAAGTAGAGTAATTTTCAGAAAATTTGAGAATCAAGTAATATGCTTTCTCTTTTTTAGTAATGATCAACCTGTACTGTTGCTAAGAAGCTTTACTTATATTAAATATAAGCAATGAGAAAAGAAGGCTTCAATAACTAATAAATCAGTTATTGTGGAGCTACTATAGATTGGCAACACCTTAGGCATAGGACCAGGCCAGTCTGGCTTTTGGAGTCCCTGACCTTCTCCGATGTCCTGTGCTTCTATACAGAACAAAGTAGAATGTGCAGGCAAGATATCTATTCATGGAGAGATGTGTGAGGATACTCAAAAAATACAGGGCAAAACGAAATAAAAAGAATACCATTTATTTTGTTGCACAAGTTTGAAACCCATGCATAGTATCTTTTTCTTCATAACATGCATTTTTGCACTGACATCTTGAAGGCCTTTTGTATGCATGGATTTAAAACATTCTGCACCTAAATAAAGTTACTTTTTAATTCTACTTTCCATAACCTTTTTAAAGTGCTTCTTTCTTTATTTTCTACCTCTTCTTTTGGGAGATTCAAGATTTTGAGCTTTATTCCATTGTCTTTGCCTCACTTCCCAACTCATCTCATTCCAGATGTCCCAACAGAAAAACAAGGAGATGATACTTTGCTGACATTGTTTAAGTGCCAGGGAAGGATTCTCTGTGGTTCATTTTCTGAATGGCTACTCTTGATTTCAGTAGTGAAGAAAATCTCCTTGGCATTTAAAACAAAGTAAAGCAAAGAAAGAATGCATCAAGCTATAAAGCTATTAGGATGGTTTACAAAATATGCCTCACAAAACATGTTTTTACACCTAATACAGTAAATTATGTTTGACTTCTTCCACAGTTGAGGGCAGTGAAAGCTTGTGGAAAGAAGATCCATTGACAAGCATTTCCTACCAGATAAACTCCAAATCTGCTTTGACATGGCATCAGGCGAGGAAGAGCTGCCAACAACAGGATGCTGAGCTCTTGAGCATCACGGAGATACATGAGCAAACCTACCTGACAGGTAATGACATGCAAGGAAAACCAGCTTGTAAGTAAATTCATCATCACTTTATGTAGCCCAATGTTAGCCTGCACCAGTAATTTTAGCCACCACGATACAGTGAGTACCATTTAGCAGAATGCAGATACATTGACAAATTTATATCCTGAAAATGAAATGGGTTTAGTAATTTTGCATCCTTTCATGAGCTAGCTTTGTTCTACTGACTATGATAGTCATGTTGCATGAAGAAGGATCCCAGAGAATAATCAGAGTAAGGGGTGACTCAATCAATGAGTGATGTGGTCATTGGCCATAAGGTGAGAGTACCATCCCAGTGGAGTATTCACGCTCCAGGTCTAACTGGAAACTAAGGGTCTTTCATTTGTTGTGGAGCTCATGGTGACAAAATGAAGCATCCAGGATGAGTCAAAAGCTGCTCTAAATCCCTGTGTCTTTGCCTCTTTTTTTTTTTTAACCTCCAGACTACTGGTTTTCAGATTTTGTTGGTATTGTTTCTACAGTAAATTGTTTTAAACACTGTTCTTACAAAGCTTGGAGGATTAACAGCTTGTGTCAGTTTTAGAGAGGCTGTTTTTGGGAGGGCAGCTTTTAATATCCACACTTGGGAAAAGAGGGAGATTAGCACCAGAAATGAAGCAGCTCTGCTTCCTTGTATCCCATATTTCTTACTTCCAGCTTCCCAGACACTGCTGTTAGACTAATCTGTCCGATCATATGACTGCCACAAGCACAGCGCTGTTAGTGGCGTCTCATTTTCCATCCAATAATGAAACAACTGACTTTCAGAGGTTGTCATTACTCACCCACCGTTGTTCTTTTTCACATGTCTTGCTGTCTTGACAAAAGAAAAATCTTGAGTTTCTTGCCATTGACCTGGCAAGAGGGAGATTACACAGTCTCCCCTCCACATCTTTTCCTGTGCCATTTGAAAATGCAAATGTTCCCAAATTATGTTTGGTTGTCATGTAGTCTTCTCTGTTTCTATATGCACTTCTCTTATTTACTTATTACTACATTTCTAATAGCTGAATATGTGTCCCATTTTCTCCACAAGGTCAAAACAATATTAACTTTCTGTTTGTTTGTTTTTGAGTGTGCATTCATTCAACAAGCTAGCTGGCACCTGTATACCAAGGCTGAGGATACCAAAATTGCCCTTGTCCTGTCCATGTACAGGGAAAAAGAGCCAAACAAGGGCATGTATTAATAGGTAAAAATGACAGCGAATGCTACAAAGGCAAACAGGCAATGCGGAGGGCAGATTAGAGGGCAGGTGGCTCGAAGTGCAGAATGTCTTGTGGATGCCCTGCCACCAAAGCTCCGATGGCATTGCCATTGAGTTTGCTTTCTCAGGAAGAAGGTCTGAATGGATATTTCTTGATTGTCAAGTGATGATGTTGACTGCCAGGAATTGTATTAATTTGTCCACCTGTTTCGACAACAGTAAATTTATGGCAAGCAGTAGTTCTGGATGAAGAAGCTCATTGATCATCTCAGAACCCTAAGTTAAGCGGCTCAGAGATGTTAGATCACTAAAGGTAGTGAAGGGGTCAGGATTCTACACCTTATGAAGCTTCCCAGGTGATTCCAGGGCAAGTGGCTAAGGGACCACAGCTGGCAAACATGGTGTTAGCACCTGCTGTTTCCATGCGTCCATACAAGGCAATGGAGTGTAGTGATTAGGGCCATAGAACTTGGAGCCAGAATATCTGAATCCCACTCAGTGGAGACGTGGTGCATTGGAGAAAAGTCTGAGGCATCTGCACATCCCTTGCTTCATGTGTCAAAGGCATAATACACATGAACAAACACATCCTCTGGCTTTGCTTGTTAGGCCACAATTCCCTTTCTTTAAATGTTTCTGGCCTATACTTTTCTTCCAATGTGGCACATTTCTTTTGTCAGCAATTAACAAAGAGGCTGAGGCTTGAACAGTGGTATATAATCCTTAAGGCAGAGACAGGCTTCTGCCTCAGCTCAATTTTTCTGTTATGCCTTGGTTTCTGAGACATTATGACAAGACCAAACAGCAGAGTGATCGATGATTTCAAACATGTTTAAAAATGAGAAGGAGAAGAAAGCCCTGAAAGAGATGAAAATCAATTCCCGCCGATGGTGAAGGACCAGAAAAGATGACTCAAGGTCTCCCCGTGTCATTTGTGTCAGGAGCTGAACTGATTTCAGTTGGTCTGTGTTATTTTGGACAGGGAAGATTTTTTTGTGTGTGTTATATTAGCTGTTTTCTCCAACTTTCTGGAAGTTTCTGTAAGCTGAAGGAGGCCTGGCTTCCTTTTTATTCTCTTCACAGACTCCACAGAATCAAAGCAAGACAGGAGCAGATGGTAGCTCTGCTGGGCGGGACTTGTTTCCCAGTCCCTGGACTCGCCTATCAGAAAGGGGCTACGGGAAATGGGAACTGCTTCCCTAATCAGCAGTGCTGTTATTGTGCCCATCTGGGGAGTAAACAAGCCCTGAGAGATTCAAGGGTTGAGTTCACCTCTGATGCATACTTGAAGTTTCTCCAAGCCTCCGGAATTTTAGTCAGCACATTTTAACTGGAATTTGGATAAGACTGACTTCTCTAATGAGATGGGATACTTCCTGCCTTTCTTTAAGTCAAAAATATCATGTAAAGAAAAAAAAAAAGCCTGACAGGAAATCTCAAAATTAAAATGGAAAGATATTCTTTTATTTTTTAAAGACATCCATGACCTTTGTTACTTATTGACATATATCAGAGAAGAATCTAGAAAATAAGAATGTGAGTGGGTGATTATGATCCACTCCATTTTGCAAAAGTATGCTGTCAAAATGAAAAAGAAAAAAAGAACCCTACAAATAGGTACACGTTTAAGTAAAGGTTATTTTTCCTAAATGAAGATTTTGAGGAATCAACATCCTTTTTAGAGGATGTATAAGCCAGTGTGACAATTCTTAGATTAAATTTATTGACATTTGTTGGATAGTTGTATGTACCAAACAGTGGGTTTTACTTCAAACACCGTACTAACCTTGTAAGTAAATAATGTTAGGAGGGAACATGGAGAATGAGGGAGAACCTGTGGCATGCCTTTTGTTCTTGGAACTCAGTCCTGCCTTCTAGTGTACCCCGTCTACATCTCTCATCAACTGAGCAGGAACCTGGCGGATCACAAAGCAGTAAAAGCACTATACATGGCAACATCATCTCATTCCAGGGAATGTGCTCCAAATGGGGGATTTGCTTTCCTAGCATCTGCAGGGTGAAAAATGTTTTGTCCAGCAACCATGTGGCCATCACCCATTTCATTACCATCACTTTTTGTGTCTACCCTGAAAAGGATTGGGACACTCTACTTCATCCTCTGTTCCTGAAACAGATCTCTAGCTACATATGCAGGGTTAGGATTTACAGAACTGAAATAAAAAAGATAGGAACTGAAATTTGGCCTGTTACCCTGATTGCCTTACCAGTTTCCTGTGGTTCTGCCTTTAAAAACAAGAAGGACTCTGTCAGGATGCTTAAATTGGTGGGAAATGGAATTGTAAAGTTATTCTGATGCAGAAGACTCTGAAATCCATATGTAATTTTTTAATGTTTTCCATGAACTTTTGGAAAACTTCTATGCTTGGGTTTCAAAAATCTTTTGCATCAAAATAAATATATCTTAAAGCATTTCCCAAAACTTTTGGAATACCCATAGAATGAAAACAAAAATATCTGTGTAATGTCAAACTTACTATATGGCTATATGACCATTTTTTAGACAGTATAAGAAGTACCAATTAAAATTTTAAAAATTACTCATGAAATTGATGCTTTGGCAATACTAAAAATTTTTGGTTTGCACCTTTATAAAATTACAAAATTACACGAGGAAAAACATTTGTGGATGATGCTTATATAATTTGAGCATTATGATTAACATATTGTTTTTAATCACACTTTTGTCAAAACTAATTTAAATTGGAGTTACTACTACTACTAGTAGTAGCTAGTGCTCAACATCATTGAGTACATACTCTGTCTAGTCTTATCTTAAAATGAGTTAATTTAATCCTTATAGATAAGCTTAGAACTACTTAGAACTAATGAAGAATGCCAAAGGATAGATAAATCCGTCAAAAAATGATTATCCTTTCTCACCATGCCAAGTAATTTAATGAGGCAATCTCATAAATAATCTGCTTGAATTATTTATAGTTTTGTAAAGTAAACATTTGTATTTTCTGATAAGTTTCCTAAAATTCCAAAATAATTAATTTTGGAATAGTTATCTTTAATTATTTTTGAAATGTCAGAAGTAGAATTTCCTGTAACATACTTCACTGTAAGGTAGCTTAAGGTAATACAAGGTAATACAACCTCAAAGAACTTGTGAAGCAGTATTAATAGAATAATTATTAATGTCAATAAGAATATCAATATTGTGCTGATCCCAGAAAGCTTCCGTGATGTGGCCTAATAGGCATGTGTCTCCTCGTGTGCCATCTTATGAATTTTCCATATGCATTCATGAACTGTGGTGACACTTTTTGGCTTCTTTGATTTATCTTAAAGAGACATAAATAATTATATAGCCATATTTTAACAGCTATGTATAAAATAATGAAATGAAATAATTGGTAACACAAGTAACTGTACAACTGGCAATGCATCAATGAATTTCTATCAACTTACTGTTTTTTTGTTTTGCAAATAAGATCATGCTTAATGATCTCATCTTGGAGACTTAAACATGTGAAATCTTGACCATTTCATTGAGATAGCTTTATAGTGAATATTGGAAGATATGGGGTTAAATTCTATCACTGTATTTGAGTTGATTTTCACCAATGGCAGGCATGAAGCAGTCAGTGAGTTGCTGTTTGGCAGGCATGACATGTATCAGTAACATCAGTCAAGGCATTGTTTTCCTCACAGGTGTTCTACATTTGAAATGAGCTAGGAAAGCGTTATAATGATGGCTCATACATAAATCTGATGAACAGAAACTGAATTCACTGGAAAAACAAAATTGAACTCTGGATTCCAAACTTGATCTACCAATGCTCTGTTTACTCCCAAATTATTTTCTTTCTGTCCTCAGTTGTCTCATCTGAAAAAAAAAAAAGAAAGGAATTAGATCAAACACCTCCCACATTCATATAATTGTTGAGAAAATTATAGCTGAGTTGAAAAAAAAACAATTCTTAATAGCTTCCCTGTGGTTTCTTAGCCTGCTTCTTTTGTCAAGGGAAGTGATGTTTTTACTTATTTTAGATTGACAGGAGGCTTGAAAGTGAAATGTTCTTTTTGACTGTGATGTCTTCCCTCAGTTCAAGCACTTAATTCTGAGTTCCATCACATTGTCTTTCTGAATGCCTGTTTTGCTTTTTCTTTTCCCCCTTATGCAGGATTAACCAGTTCTTTGACTTCAGGACTCTGGATTGGGCTCAACAGCCTGAGTTTCAACAGTGGTTGGCAGTGGAGTGGTGGAAGTCCTTTTCGGTATTTGAACTGGTTACCAGGTAGGGTTAAATCTGTCTGTGATTGAATTCATTTAAATAAAATTCACCTTGGTACCATGAAGACCTTTGTAATCTTACACATGAATATCAAAGAGAAGAATTAGGAGACTTCATGTTATGTGATAGAATTAATTTCTAAGGTTAAATAACATTGCTTGAATAAGGATTTATGTCCCAGAATCATCACACAAATCAATAAAGGATACTGTTAAAAGTATAAGTTGACAGAGTATTTGTTAGCAATCGTATTCCAAAGCAAATGTTGTAGCTACTCTTTTTGCTTTGTTTTTTCCTCTTAAATTATTTTTGTTTTTATTTTATTTTTAATATTATTTACATAGTTTAGAGGGATGCATGCCCATGTGGATCTCCAATTAGGGTGGGGAGGGTTGAGGTATGGTGGAAGATGGGTGGGACAAACGTTCCAAATTTTCTTTTTCTCCCGTGTCTGCAGGAGGTGAAGGAAGGAGGCCACTCCTTGCTGTCAAACTACATCAGCCCCCAGGGATGGGGGAAAGTCATTTGATGATGTCTTAGAGATCCCAAAGTGGGGAAGAATGTTTCAATGGTGTTACTTTAGTGATTTTGATAATTCTGAAACATCATTGGCTTTGTTGCATCAGGATTGGGAAAATCTTTCCAAGGGCTAAATGCTGACCAACTTCAGCTCAATGCATCTGCACAGGCTCAGGAACATGTTGCAAAGGTTGACCAGGAAAGTAGTCCAATCTATTTTGCTTTCCATTCTCCAATGAGGCTCTTGATATCCTATGCTGGCCCAGATGACCGGCTGTTATATGCCCTGTGTGCATCTGGGCATGCTGACCACTACAGAGGCATCAGCAACTGAAGAGGCCCAGTCCTGACACATGGGCTCCAAGGTCAGACCACATATATTGTGATTTTCTTTGTGGCCAGTGTTTGAGTCCAGCCATCTGGCTGTGGAGTCCCCCAAGAAATCTCATTTGGGGTGACCTCATACTTGACTCTTGTGTGTCAGCCAGTACAGTGTCAGGTTCAGTCTGTCATCTGCACCAGCCAATGCATATATGGGTGAATATAGCTGATTGGTCAGTTCTGTCCCCAGCCCCACCTCCCATGTGAACTGATGGGTACTGCGGCCTAGTCCAGAAAGCACACCACAGTCCAGGCCCTTATGCATACCAATTGTTGTCATGACCTAGTTGGGGTAAACCTTAAAACCCCCAACCAGGGATGCCCCATGCCATGGTTCCCATACATGCTGATATGTACAGCCAACTAATCCGGTTTCTCCTATATTTCATTTGGTTCTTGTATGCACAGATGGATGCTGTGGCTTAGCCCAGCCTAGAACCCCCCCACACCCAGCTCTCATGTGTTGTGGTGGGTTCTGTGAGTGCTGCAGCCTTACTGGCTGGCCTGGTGCACCTCCAACCCCAGTTACTGTGCTCCCCAACAGGAGGTGTGGCCTTGCAGGGGTGTTCCTCAAGTACCCCTACCAGACCGCTCCCACCCGTGGTTCTCACGTGGGCTGGCTGGTCATTTTATTATTCAATGTGAGGACAACAATTATAATGTTTAATCACTTTCATTCTAATAGTCTAGTGAAAAAAAAACGTAGGGGATAATTTTGGTGAAGTTTGATGGTAAAAGTAGAATATTAATAGGAAAAGAAATTAAACACTATTCTTTATGAAACCAAATTCCTGAGAAGTAGGTATGAGATTTAATCATTTGAAATAGTATGAGAGTTTGTTTAAACTAAAATTAGGAATGTCATGGAATGCTAGAAATTGTTATTGTAGAAATTGTTTTAGACATGATTTCAATTGAGCACTACAAAGTAATGCAGTTTGTTGCAGGAATATTTCACATTACTGATGTATGTATGTGAATTTAAATACATAACTGAGTATCTATGATGGAATTAGGTTTCTATGACATACTCTAACCAAGCAAGATTATTTGTTTTAAGGTCTAATTTTATTAGTCGGTAATGGGAGAAAGTTCATTTCCAAAAAGTTTACTTGTATAATCAATAGTTCAAGCGTTGGAATGATCCATGAATACTGAAATAAAGAGTTTACTCACCCTGTCAGCTGCTTTACAGTCAGTGAAGATTCGTGAATTTGTAGCAATTAAATTCTAAGGGTAAAGGCGCGCAGCCTGGTCAGGGGAAAGTGGCTACCTACCTGCATGCTTTAAATAGATACGCCAGCACTACAGTAACTTTTCCTTTCTCTGAAAGGAAGTCCATCGGCACAACCTGGAAAAAGCTGTGTGTCACTAAATCCTGGAAAAAATGCCAAGTGGGAAAATCTGGAATGTGTTCAGAAACTGGGCTACGTTTGTAAGAAGGGCAACACTACTCTGAATCCTTTTGTAATTCCCTCAGGTAAGCAAGTGGTCTGTCTGGTCTGAATGCATAAAATATTTGAGTTAAATAAATAAATAAGATGATAAGAAGTAACTGTCAGAAATGACTCCACAGCTTTTGTTGATTATACATAGAGTTAACTTAGTAATAGTTGCATGCAATTTCTTTTGGTTGGCTCCTACTAAGTTTTCATTTTCTGAATTTGCCACTGTATTTGGGCATTCTGCAAAGTCTTTGATAGATCATAAATAATTTTACCTTTGATGAGTATTAGTCTCCTGCTATAGGTGAAGCAAAAACTAATAATAGAATATATAAAACATAAATATATGACAAAATTGGAATTCAAATTGGGAAACAAATATCTTAAAGGGCCTTTATGTCTTCATGCATCTGAGTCCCAAAACTATTCAATATAGCATCTCACTCTAAAATCTTCACAGAATGGAATAAATATAAAAATAGTAGTTATATATTAATTACTATTAATATATTAGTAAATATATTAATATATTTCCACATATATTACATATATTTTTACATTTGAAAATTTTCTCTTGCACTTTCACTTATAATTTTATAAAATAAATCGATTAATAATTTTTTTCAATTTGACAAAATCAAATTATTTTTTCAATATCAACAAATTTTGGAGGGACAACTAATGCTGTAAATAGTTATTTATCTACGTTTTCTGCTTAGGAAACCTGACAGTATGACACTGTAGAGCTTTTTTCTCCTTGATGGGTAAAAGCAATTTCACTAATTTAAATATATAGTTGAACTGGATAGAAACCCAGAGGTATAAAATGAGGGACACTGTCTTTTCCTACCACCTCTTATGTGTAACACCCAGTTACACTGTTAAGAATGCATGTTTGTAGGTATGCATTATTATTTCCGCTGTAAAACATTGCCCCAGAGGAACAAATCATCTTTAGGGGCTGTCCTGGGAAATCCCCTTTAGCCCTTTTGAAATGGTTGCTTCAAAATGATTTTCGAGTTCAGCTGGTCATTTTTTCTGAAGCCCTCAGCTTTGGCTCATGCTATTTTCAGTTTCTCAGACAGTAAGATTAAAATATCCCACCAGAGGGCTCCAGAGCACATGCGGTTACATCTTAATCAGTAATACAGTCCTGCTCTATTTATTTTTACAACTTATCTATCACTTAATGGGAGAAATATATCAAAAGGGAAAAAACATAAAGGTACAAGACAAAAGTTTCAAATATGAAACCCCCCTACAACTACAGGCTTAACTCCTGTATGCATTAATTCTCATGAATTGTTAAAGGCCTACTCAGCAAGACATTATCAGTAACAGCAACTCCTAAGCTCACCTTAAGTTGTGAAAAACATCTCACAAGGACAAGCAACGATGCTCCAATAAGTTACAGAATTCTTTAATGGGGTGGTTGAGTGTCCATGCCAGGGGTGAAACTGTGTTCAGGTGGTTGGAGGGACATCCGCCATGTTGGTAAGAGACATCTTACCGACAGGGGAGCTCTTCTCGTTACACCTTTATGTGCCTTCATGACACAAAAGCTGGGAGGTCTCAGCTCCCATGAACAAATGAAGTAAAAAAGAAAACATTGTTTTGATTTTCATCAAATCTCCTTTAAATGTTTTCACAACTTCTGTTTTTCTAGAAACTGATGTGCCCACCAGTTGTCCCAGTCAGTGGTGGCCGTATGCAGGTCACTGCTACAAGATTCACAGAGAAGAGAAGAAGATCCAGAAGGATGCCATGGTCGCATGCCGCAAGCAGGGTGGTGATCTCGCAAGTATCCACAGCATTGAGGAGTTTGACTTCATCATCTCTCAGCTAGGATATGGTGAGAAACCTCATAGCTATGAGAAACTTGACCCCAGTTCCCTCCCCCACTATACCTGTCTCTGCAAAATTTAATTGTAAATGTGAAATTTATGACATTCTAATCATGTTTACAATATGAACAATGTCTTGTAATTTGGCTAACTGTAACTGAAAGAGCATTCAATGCATTTTCTTTTAAAATATAATCAATTTATGAATAGCTTTTAATATCCTTTTTAAACCTAGAATCTGGATCCAGAGCAGGGCACATTTAAAATTCAACAGTGCTGAATTTTTTGGAATTGTGTGTGTGTGTACATGTGACTTTTTTTTTTTAAGATACATACTTTTATTCACAAGAAAGTTCTTTAAATGAACTAGCTCACACTTTGGGTTTTCTGTTATTGTAGCTAATACTGATAGGCTGTTAACAGTGAAGGAATGAGATCCCTGTGGGTTTTTTTTTGTGTGTGTGTGGTTAGATATTGGCTTACATTTTTGCAAGAAATTTGGCTCATTGTCTTATGTATATGCTTTTTAAAATACAAAAAAAGTGCTAATTGCAATGCTAAGAAAGATGGGAGGGATAGGTTGGGCATGCTTGCCTTGAAGAATAGTGGGTTGAGAAACAGCATAATGATAATGGGCACTCGTGGCATTTGTTGATTAAATGATTATCATTTTTGTCGTCTGCTGATGAGATTGCTGAATAGCTGCAGCTGTTCTTCATTTCCACCCTGCAAAATAAGAGGAAATGGATGAGCACAGGGGCTGGGGACAGGGTGAGGGAGACACTTGCTGACACACAGAGCCTGAAAACCAAAGGAGATTGACTTGCAGGAAGAAGAAATTGACAAACAGCTGAGAAAAAGCTGAGTGGTAGCTGAGAAAGATTGAAAAGACCCCAAACATTGCTATATGGAGCTTCCATGCCCATTGGAGTCCATTTTCCTCTGTATAATTCGCTGAGTGTACTTTGCAGTGGAAATGGTCAGCTAAGCAATTTGAATGTTGCATGTTTGCCTAGCTTTGAAAATTCAGACTAAAAGATAATAAAGATGAAAAGCAGTTGATATATCTAGAGAACAGTTACTTAAGCTTATTATGACATCTATAACAGGTGGTGAAGCTTGCAAATGAAATCAGTGAAAAACAGGTTACCTAAGATGATTTGAGGGATACCATATAAATCTTACTCTACTTTTTATAACGTGGTAGGAGAAGCTTATGTTTTAATTCCTATCATTATTTTGGGGGCACTGGCTGACAAATGTTGCTTTTTAATTCAGTATGAGAATGAATTAGAAAACTTTTCATTTAAAAAAGTATCAATGAGAATTTACTTAAAACCATAAAACAATATAGATAAAAGTTGGAAAATTAAGAGTTTCCAAACAAGAAGGCTACATTACATAGCTTTGTAAGCCAGTTGAGATATCTTTCATATTAATCATGTAAACATATTACAGAAAGACAAACTAGGACCTGCACAATTAAATTTTGTATAAAATCACTTTCCTGATTTGTAAAAATCAGTTTGGCAACAATTTTACAGGTTATGTTTAAAAACTATAGAAGTTAAAAGGTGGGAAATTTTGGTGAGAAAAACTGTATGTGGGAATCTTTTAGCACTTTATTGTAACGATGGGACTTGGGATTTTGTTTCTTCTTATCTTCACTTGAAATTCTTGACGGGCTGTGAGCTTCTTAGAAGTCCACATCTGTTGCTCAAAAGATCATGATGTGCTAAATGCAGTGAGATGAAAAGGGGCTCATCCTGGCAGTGTCCCTCATGTGCCAAGGCATTGGAGACATCTGCTGGAGCTGGCACCAAGCCACTCAGGGACTTCTCCAAAAACAAAGTTGAGTGACAACTCTTAGGAGGAAGAAACTAAACCACTTGGAGGAAATTTTGACATAATGTGATAGTTTTCTCCTTTTCTTTCAGGACGTGAGCTTCACAATCTTTTCAGGTGATCTGATTTACTGTTAAAAGCTTATATGCCAAGCATTCATGCTGGAATGCCCATTCACACAAATGAAAGAGATGTTGAATTGTATAGGCTTTAAGTTCTTAAAACTCTGGAAATGTTTCTTTTTTTTAGTCCTGAAATCCTAGATCTTCAGTCACTTCAACTTTGTACTACTTTGTTGAATTTTTAATCTTATTTCCTATTTGATTTTTCCCATTTAATCACTTTTCATGGTGAAACCAATTAAAGGTTCATTTCTGCTCATAGATTAATGAATATTCACCAAATACCAGGTGCCGACTTCAATCCTCAGTTAATATTTCTCACTGTATAAATAATCTGTACTTCTCATACAGAGATTGAACTTTAACAGAAGTAGCTAGAATGTTCTTGATAACAATTTAAGCAGTAAAAGAGCTAGATTTAACATTTAGTTACATAAAAAATTCATAAAATCTAACCATAGTGAGATTTATGTAAGTAAGCTACTTTATTTCTAACAATATGAATGCAGTTGGCATGGTAAATCATTTCTTAAGGTATCTTCACAAGGAAAAGAGTGATAATAGAGCTACCTCAATTTCATGTTTATACATCCTAGGAGGTGTCATTTGTAGTAGGTCAACTACAGAATATAGTCATATTCACAATATAAAGAACATATTAGACAATCAAACTGTAAACATACACTGTAGTTGACATCTAAGTTTAATAGCATGTAGTTCAGACTATCACTTAGAGGGATGCTCTTTTAGGATGCTTACAATACCAGGGCCTGGAGCTATGCTGATGGAACACAGCATGCGGACACCCTCCTGACTTTGCGAAGTAGCCTTTACATTTACTGCTTTTGCATTTTTGTTTCTGCTCAGAGCCAAATGATGAGCTATGGATTGGCTTAAATGACATCAAGATTCAAATGTACTTTGAGTGGAGTGATGGGACCCCCGTGACATTTACCAAATGGCTTCGTGGAGAACCAAGTCATGAGAACAACAGGCAGGAGGATTGTGTTGTGATGAAGGGCAAGGTAGGGTGACTTTCACTGTTGATACCTGGGGATTTTGTTTCTTTAGCCTCACTTTCTGCATGTTTATTTAGATTGTTTTTATTCCAAGTGAATTGACATAAATCAAAGGTGAAATTAGATTTATGTCCAATTTCATGATTCTTTCTAAATGGTTTATATATTTAGAGAAAAACAGAAAAATATCTTCCATCTATTGTTCTAATTCTCAAATACCACAACAATCTGGAATTGGGTCAGGAAAAAACAATTAGCCTAGAATGCCATCAGGATCTCTCATGTACGTATCAGGGATATGTCCTTAGCCATCAGCTGTATCTTTTCTGCTAGAAGCTGAATCAAACGTGGAGTAGCTAGGACTCAACTAGACACTCCCGATACAAATTCCCAAAAGGTCACTTCACTGCTGCAGTACAATGCCCATCCCCACAGGATTTTTTAAAAATTTCCATCTTGTATTCATTTTTAAAAAATGATTCATTTATTTTTATTGGAAAGTCAGATTTAAGAGAGAAGGAGAGACACAGAGAAGAGCTTCCATCTGCTGGTTATCTCCCTAAGTGGCCACAATGGCCAGAGCCATTGATCCAAAGCTGGGAGCCTGGAGCTTCTTCTGGGTCTCCCGTGTGCGTGCAGGGTCCCAAGGCTTTGGGTCATTCTCAGCTGCTTTTCCAGGCCACAGGCAGGGAGCTGGATGGGAGGTGCATCAGCCAGGATACAAACAAGTACCCGTATGGGATTTAACCACTAGGCTATCATGCTGGACTCTTTTTTCTTTTTAACATTTATTTATTTATAGTGATATGGCAGATTAACAGAGAGAAGGAGAGAGAGAGAGAAAGATCTTCTGTCTGCTGGTTCACTCCCCAAGTAGCCACAATAGCTGAAGTTAAGCCAATCTGAAGCCAGGAACCAGGAGCTTCTTCCAATCTTCCCATGTGGGTAGAGGGTCCCAAGGCTTTGGGCCATCCTTCTCTGCTTTCACAGACAAAAGGCTGGGAGCTGGAAGGGAAGTAGAGCAGGCAGGATACGAACCAGCACCCATATGGGATGCAGGTGGATGCATGGAAGGCAATGATTTAGTTACTGAGCCATTGTGCCGGGTCCCATCTATTAGTTTTAAATGGATATGCTGCATAAATAGCCTGAATAGGACTTGAGTGATACAAGATTATTATTGAACTATTTTTGTTAATAGATGATGAACATGGTGGTTAAGAGGTTGTGTTTGCTATACAATTTCTTCACTCACTTTCCAAGTAGGGATGGTAATTGCACCCAGCTTACATGCAGGCATGAGAATTAAATGCATAAAGTATGTGTGAGTCCTGGCCTTCCATGTGCCAGGATCCATTTTAGGTTCCAGTTCATGTCCCAGCAGCCCTGCTTCCCATCTAGCTCCCTGCTTGTAGTCTTGGAAAGCCGTAGAGATCGACTGAAAGCCTTGGAACCCTGCACCCATGTGGGAGACCCAGAACAAGTTTGTGGCTCCTGACTTCGGATTGGCTCATCTCTGGCTGTTGTGGCTGCTTGGGGAGTGAAGCAGCAGTTGGAAGATCTTCCTTTCTGTCTCTCCTCCTCTCTGCATATCTGACTTTACAATAAAAATAAATAAGTCTTAAACATATTATCTTGAGAATGGGAAGACCCATCTGCAGTTTACAAATGTCGCTGTAGCTGGAGGGGTGAGCACCAGATTACAGGGGTCTTAAAACAAGTGAAGTTAGAGGAACTAAAGGCAGCCAATTAGGAAGTCCTCTTTCATCATATGTACCAGTTACAGAGAAGGCACAGGTCATTTTAACCTGAAGTCCCTAGGGAAGACAACTGTAACTGAGTGTGAGGTTGAACCTTAGATCCGGAAGGGCACTGCTCAGTAGAACAAGAGGAGAAAGAAGAAGATTGGTTTGGGGTTGATTTTCAAGGTCGATCGATAGGGTGAGGAGGGTTTTTTTCTGGATGGCTTGAATGTTCTTGGTGGAATGGAGACAGAGCTGATGGTGACAGCTGATGAGCAGGCTGTATGAAAGCCATCGGCAGTATCAGCACTTAAGGACTTGCATGCATTTTACTTCCTCCCTAAATCCCTCTAAACGGTGGTTTGGATGTTTAAGACACACAGTCCTTTTGGGGTTACAATCTCTTCTTATATCTCCGTCAATTTATCCTACTTTTTTTTCCCCCTGTAGAATTCCCTTTTTCTCTGAATAACCTTGAACCTTAGTTTTCCTTCTCTGAAGTGCAACTACAAGAAAATCACATCAAAGTCAAACAACTCAGGTAATTTTTTTCCCATTTCTTCACTCTTGGCAGGATGGCTACTGGGCAGATAGGGCCTGTGAGCGGCCCCTTAACTACATTTGCAAGATGGCATCACAAGCCCAAACTACAGGAATAGTGGAAGAAGAACCAGGTTGCCAGAAAGTAAGTAAAGAACATTCATGATGAATTTAGATCAGCAAGTATTATTTGATGCAGCTACCTTTGTTTTTGTGCCCGTGTAAGTGCTTTGTCCTCATGGCGGTGAAATGTTTCAGCCATCTGAAATATTCAGTGGTTCGTTGTACACTTCTGGTATCATTGCCCTCTCTCAGGTTTGGGGAATTCTCTCCCTAGTTACTATTGGGGTGCGTGGTCTGTAGCTCCTCTTGAAAGGTTTTAAACTTGGAAAAGAGAACTGAGGATGAAATGATGCCCTCAGCAGATCCTAGTGTGAAGGTCAGGAGCTAACGGGTGACCTTGGGAAAAGTTGCCATCCAGAGACCTGCAGGCTACTATCCATGAATATTTCCAGTGGAAATATTTAATTGCTCATAGTGAATTATCCTTAGTTATTATTATTTCTGGGGAGTCTTTTCCTGTGTGAGAATTCTTCTCCATAGAGCCCTTTAGTGGGAGGCAGGAAATCTAGATTCCAACTGGTACCAGCAGAACCCAGATGATTTTTTAAAAATATATGTAAAATTTTAGTTTTTGACAGATTTGGTGTGATTTGTAGATAGATTTCTAACAACATAATGATATTCCTTTCCTCTGTCCCACTCTTCTTTTTCCTTTCTTCCTTTACTTTTGTTAGTTTTTGATATAACCTGTTTTAAATTTATATTACAGTATAAAGACCTAATACTTTACCGAATAAGACATTTAGCAAATAAAAACCAAAAAGCCTACTTTAGTGGAGAAACCCGACAGTGGCTGACTATGGACACTATTTAATCATCTCATCCATATGCAGTAAATATTGAAGTAGTCACAGATAAAACTACAATAGTATAACATTCTTAGTCACTGATTCGACACAGGTCTAAAAGTTTTTTTGCAAACCTCTATTTACAGCAATAGTGATGCACATTGACATGTCTCTTTTTTAAGTTTTAGCTCACTCACGTACGGAAGAACATGTAGAATTTGCCTTACTGGGTCCGGTGTCTTCCAATTCTGTTCATTCTTTTTTATAGTTGAATAATATTTCATTGTGTATATGTATAACATTTTCTTTATATATTTGTCTTATGATTGATACTTCAGAGGATTCTAAATTTTGGCTGTTGTGAATAGTCTTGTTATAAACATGATGGTGCCAGAATCTCTGAGACAATGTGTTTTAAATCTTTTGGATATATATCTAATCATGAGATTGCTGAATTAAATGGCAAATCTATTTCTAGGTTTTAAAGGAATCTCCACACTGTTTTCCACAGCCTTTAAGCTAATTTACTTGCCCACGAACAATGTATAAGTATTCCTCTTTGTCCACATCCTTGGCAGCAATTGTTACTTTGTGTGTTGGAACTTAGTTATTCTGGCAGGAGTGAGTGGATGTGTGATTGTTCACTTGATGATGGCTAGTGGTGTTTCTTGTTTTTTCCCAACTATTTGTTACCCATTTGCATTTCTTCTTTTGAGAACTGTCTATTGAAGTCTCAACTGGATTAGTCGCCTTTTTGTTGTTGAGTTTTTAAAGCTGCTGATATATCCAGGATGTTAATCCTTTGTTGGAGAGGTGGTTTGCAATTTTCTTTCCATTCTTTTGGTTGTCTCCTCATGCTGTTTTATATAGTTCCATTTTTTAAAAAAAGTTTTGGTTTGGCTACCTGTGCTCTGGATGTCTTGTCCAAGAAGTCATCTCCTACATGAATGTTTTGGGGTGTTTCATCTACGTTTTCTTCCAACAACTTCATAGTCTCAGGACTTACATTTAACGCTTTGATCCATAGTCAGCTAATTTTGTATATATTGAGAGGTATGAAGCTAGTTTCATTCTTCTACGCACATGCTCAATATTGCCAACACAATTTTGTTGTTGTTGAAAACCTATCCTTACTCCACTGAATGGTCTGAGCACTTTTCTGAAATGATCAGTTAGCTGCATACGTAACGAGCTAATTTCTGGACTCTCTATTCTTTTCCAATGACCTTTGCATTTATTTTTATGCCAGTACCATGCTATTTCGATTACTATAACTTTGCAGTATGCCTTGAAGTCAGGTTTATGATGCTTCCAGGTTGTTTTCTTTTTCTTGTTTAGGATTGTTTTGGCTACTCTGGATCTATTGTGATTTAATGTGAATTTTAGCATCTCCTTCTCTAATTTTTTAAAGGATGTTTTTGTTGATTGGATAATGATTCTTTGTTAGTGAATTTGGTGATATTGTGTGTTTTCATATTTACTTCTAATACAGGGCACTCTTCACAATTTTTTGTAAGGTTGGTCTGGTGGCAGTAAGTTCTCTCATTTTTACTTACCTGGAAAATGTTTTATTTCTGCTGCACTTTTTAAGACAGCTTCACTGGGTGTAACATTCTTGGGTGGAAGTTTTTTCTTTTAAGACTTTGTATGTATCATCCCACTTTCTTCAGACCTGTAGAATTTCTGCTGTGAAGTCTAATGTTAATCTAATTAGTTTTACTTTATATGTCACTTGACATTTTTACTGTCTTTAGGATTCTGTCTTTGTTTTTAAACTTTTGACAACTGGACAATATGCCTTGTAGAAGACCTTTTTGGGGTGATCCTGCCTGGGTTCTTAAAACTTACAGCTGGATGTCCTTGTCTCTTAAGATCTCTCAGATTTTCAGTTATTATTTAAATGCCCTTTTCCTTTCCTTTTTTAGGAATATTTATAATATGGATATGTGACTGTTTAATGACATTCATATTTTGTGCCTACTTTTTTATGCTTTTAAATTCTTTTCCCTTTGTTTTATCTGATTGGGTTATTTCGAAATTCTTGTCCTTGAATTTAGAAATTTTTTTCCTCTACTTGATGTATTCTGCTGTTAAAGTTCTCAATTCTTTTTTTTTTTTTGCTGATTGATGATTTCATCTCCAAAATTTATAGTTGGCTCTTGTGAATGAGTTCTGTCTCTTTAGTAATATTTTCAATCATGTCCCTCATTGCTTGCCTCATTTTCTTAATCTGTATTCTTTTGTATCATGTTTAATTTCCTTACAATCATTTTGAATTATATGTCTGTCATTTCATAGATTTACTTCAGTTTAGGACCTAGTTGGAGGGCTGCTGTGTTGTTTCAGAGACATCATGATGCCTTGCTTTGTCATGTTTCTTGTGTCCCCAAGTTGATATCTGTGCATATGGTGCAATTGTCCCTTGTTTATGGAATAGGTTTAATTGTATGCGAGATTACAGTTTACCTGGAGTTCAGGGTATCACTTAGCCTGTTGCCTTGGCCTTGGTTTTAGGTGAGCTCAGGAGTGTAGTCTCGGATGATTTCTCTTAATGTCAGCTGTGTCTATGGGTGACACAGTGGATTAGTTGGCTGCAGTTTTTAGGGATGGAAGTGTAGGTTTGAGAAGAAGGACTGTTTCTTTGGGTATGTATCTTTGGTCCATAGAGATTCAATGTTGTCTCCTTGGTGAACGGGCCTTGTATTCTTGGTACTGGGGTGCTAAGGGTGACTGCCCACTGGTCCTGTAATAAACTCGAGTGATGTCAGGGCTTTTTCCAACAATTGCTAAGGCTTTAGGACTGTGTAATGTAGAGGCATCCTTTCTCAGATCCTGCTAGGAGAGTTCTGGTGTGATGGATTTTAACACCAACAGGCCTGACCCTAGGGCTAAGCGATGTGAGCAAAAACCTGGTCCAGTCCTTCCTACAGGATAAAAACAAGGTTTACTCTGCTGGGTGTGAGTCCAGAAAGGCAGACTGCAGCTAAGATCTTTGTTGAGTCCACTGGTTAGGTTCCAGTGGTACTGACAAATTTAGAACAGATTGTTATGGTCCTGGTGTTGTGGAGGTATAGGTCTGCCAGGGTGGGAAGGGATTTGGGGTCAGGGAGCTGCTTCTGGTGTTAGCACCTAGCACCTGCAGTGAATCCCCTTGCTGAGGTGGATGCATGAACATAGCCCTGGGACTAACACGCCAAGACTCCCACAGTCACAGGACACAGGAGATGGCCTGACTCTCACTCGGATGCTGGTAGAACAGAAGCACGACTGGGGCTTTGTGCTGCCAGGTATGGCATTCCGTAGGAGTAGAGGAGGGGAAGGAAGCAGCCCCCTGCTCCAAGCCTGGCAGCTCCCCAGGCTGAAGTGAAAGTCATTGGGTGACTGTGGGATTCCTTCCCAACTGAAACTGCGAGCCTCAGGGTATGTGGCAATTTCTTCCTACCTTGACATGGTAGCACAGCAGCTCATAGCCTGCAGCGGGCTGCACAGTATAGCTGGCCACAGTGGTGTCTACCTTCTCTCCTCTTGTCCCATGGAGTTCTTGTTGTCCTCCAAAACTTTGTGTCAGTCAGACCTCCGGAAACTTAGCTTTTGTTTTGTTGTTTTCATAACTCCAAAGAGTTTGTTTGGCTCTAACCTACTCAGCCATATTGGACCTCCACTCGGATAAATTAAAGAAAGTTGCACATCTTGTTGTGTTTCAATTTCACAGCCAATTGTGACAATAACACCTCCCTTCGAATCTTAAGTATAAAATCTTGAGGATAAAATGAATTGTCTCTATGAACTCATTTTAAAGTGAAAATAAATTATGAAAATATCGGTTTGATGGCTATTTTCCTTTTTGACCTCTGATTTCCCCTTTTGTCCTTTCTCACTTCTCTTGGACAAAACGCAAAGCAGAAACTAATTATTTTTGCAAGAGTGTTGTGTCACATAATCTTAAAAAACACCGGAGGGCTGAGGAGTCAGGAAAGTTAACGTGTATTGCACAAATAAGCCTTAAGGAAAAATACAACAGACAACAGAAAACCATAGGATGCTAGAGATAGAAAGGATCTTAGTAAGGATCAAAATGCCTTTTCTAAATGTAATGTTCTGGAAACCTCTGTGCCAACAAGTTTTCTTGGAGTCGAAAGAAGTGACTAGAATCCAGGTCCCCTCCCCTACAGGCATTTGGTTTCCTTATGCTTACATATCCTTTACTTATGTCTGTATACAAGATGGTATATTACTTTTTAATTTTCTATAAGAATAAAAAAATCCATAAGTTTTTCTTACTTCTACAGAATCAATGCAAATTTTATGTTTTCTTATTGATGATTGTTATACCACAACTTCTTATAAATGCTAACTTAGCTTATTAGGAGGTCGTGAAAACAAGAGAGTAAAGGCAAGTACAGGTGTCTTAATGAACTTGTAGGAGAAATAGTAATGTCCTAAAAGAGAAAACTGAAGTTCAGAAAACCTAAATAATTTAGCCAGTTTAAAGATACCTGCTCCATGGCTAGCATTGTGCACAGCACAGCAAGCCTCTGCCTGCAAGTCCTGGCCATTCCACTTCTGGCCCAGCTTCCTGATAACGGGACTAGCAAGACAATGGTAGACAGCCTGAGTAACTAGGATCCCACCAGGCATGTAGGGGACCAGGGTGGGATTCTGATTCGTGGCTTTAGCCTGACCTAGCCATGGCTCTTGTGCCCATCTGGGGAGTAAGCCCGTAAGTAGAAAAATCTGCCCCCTCTCTGTCACTCTGCCTTTTATGTATAAATGTGAAATTTATATATATTCTTGAAAATTGTCATTAATTAACTTTATTCACTGCTTTTGAAGTTTCTCTTAGATCAGAATTCATACCTTGATGTTTTGTTGTCTGTATTTTCATCAACAGGTATTTCAGTCTGCATTCCTATTTTAATCTTTGGTTTATTCATTCAGTTTGCTTTTTTGCTCTGAAACCCTGCCTATGGCACTAATCTGACGATTGAGTTTTGCACTTCTACATTTTCTTTCCTTGAGATTCTGATTTTGTTTTAAGTCTTCCTGTGTTTGTGCATAGTGTTTTGATCTTCTGTTACTTATTATGTTGCTTCTGTAATTAAGCTCTCTCAACCATGTTTATTTTTGTAATTTTAAAGATTGATAAATAATTATTGCTCCCTTTGGAATTGAGCATTTTCACTTGTGATTTGTAATACTTTTGGTGATTTAGTGCTCATGTTTATTCTTGCACCTACTCTTGAATGCCGTAGTCTTCTATGACCTGGTTTGTGGAGGTATTTCCACTGTGTGGTTTTAATTCTACTTCTTTCAAGACTGGATAGACTCTCCCTTATATGTACAGAATATTGCATTTTTGGAAGTTGTTTTTCATACAATATGGACAGTGTAAAATTGGAACTGGCACTCATCGATGCCAGAGATTTGAAATTGCTTTCAACCCAACTGTGATACCCAGACCCCCAGGCAGGTAACAAGACTGTCACCTCCTGACTTTGTGAGTAAAGTTCTCTAGCTTTGCTTTCCAGAGGGCCTCCTCTTACTGTTCAGGTCTTTCTACAAGGAACTCAAGTGGGTGGAAGGCCAGCCATTGTGTTCAGAATGCACAGTCTTAGTCTGACTCCTGGGGACTGATACTAGAGCTGATGTACCTTTGACATTTGGGTACTTTCCAAGCGAATTTTAGTGTTCTGCTTACTTTCGGTTCTAGGAAATCTTCCTTATTCCTCTCAAACATTAGTGTAAATTTTTCATTTACCGTCACACTTTTATCTAGCATTTTTTTTTTAAGTGTAAGAGAGGAACCGCACCAGAGAATGTTGCTGGGCATTTGATGTTTTCTCTTAGGATCGGATGATCTAGCTTTATACTCAGGCCTTACTCTTCCCCAAATTGCTTCCTGTGGTTAACTATTCTCAAACAAAAACCTTAGCTATTCTTGCTCAGTTTCCTCAGTAAGCACTTTTTTTTTTTTTTAATTAGAAGGTACATTGGAAGTGGAGAAAATGATTTGTCAAATGAACAGTATACCACTGTTTGCTTTATTCAATTACATTTGTAATTTTCATTTAAATTCTCCAGACTTGTGTTATTTAGACATATCTATTGCTTATCTGTTTTCATTTCCTTATAAGCGCTCATGATAATCTGTTCATTTCTGCCTTTCTTGGTCACTTTAATAGGGTTGGAAAAGACATGGTTTTTACTGCTATTATATTGGACGCACACTTTCCACGTTTACAGAAGCAAACCAGACTTGTATAAACGAGAAGGCTTATTTAACAACTATTGAAGACAGGTATTTAACCAATTAAATTTAAATTTAAAATATATCAAAGTGTAACAAAAAATTTTTTTTTTGAAAACACTGAAGCATCCACGTGCTTAACATTGCTGAGTAAATTATGTAGGATCTGGAGGCCCAGTTTGTAATGGTGGAACATTAAAAGTAATTTCCTTATTTGGACTCATCATTATTAAAATTGTAAAACTTGTTATTTTTAATACAATCAATCGATATTCAGGACATTTTACCAGTAGTCTAATAGCTCCGCCATTGTCTGATTTACTACATATGTTTCAAGTTACAGTGCTGTAATAAATGTGTCATGAAATACATATTCCTTTTTATTATTTTAATTATGCCCATTTATGTGGTACAGTGTGACAATCAACACATTTTCAATGCGTAAAGAACAAATCAAAACTTTCAAAGCAACAAAAGATTAAACCCTCTTTCTATCTTTACTCTTTCCTCCACCAACAAAGAAACTAGAGAGACTGGCTAAATGATTCACTCATTATTTCTATTCTGGCCTTTGTGGCAATTTGAAAAGTGAACCAGCAGATTGAACACCTCTTCTCCTCTCTTTTCTTTCTCTCTCTCTCTCTGCACACACACACACACACACACACACACATATATACACATGCACACATATATACAACATGTTTAAATACCAACTAAGTCATAGCTGAAGATACTTGGAACTAATACTTCTCATGTTGATTTTTTAAAAAATTATTACAGAAATGTTTCTAAAATTTAATTGAGTGTTCTTTTTCTCTTTCTTTTTAAAAGATATGAACAAGCATTCCTGACTAGTTTGATTGGATTGAGGCCAGAGAAATACTTTTGGACAGGACTTTCAGATATACAGAACAAAGGCACCTTTCAATGGACCATTGATGAGGAGGTCAGGTTCACTCACTGGAATTCGGATATGCCAGGTATGACGGTGTGCTTGACTCCCAATTACCCTCTGTGTCCTTGCTTGCTGATGAACCAAGCGGGCCAAGTCTGTTAACTTTCCAGGGAGACTATGTACATTCATTGTGCTTTGGATACAGTGTTGTAGTGTTGTGTATTTCATTCTTTTTAATTTTGCTTCCGTTAAATTTTTTTTTTCCAATGAGTCTTCAATGCTGTAAGAAAAACACAAAGAGAAAATTGCTAGGCTCCTTGGAACAATATTTATGAAATCCTAAATGTTCAGAAATGTCACAAATGATTAACATATTCATGATCACTTAAAACTTTATTCCATGGGTATAAAATATTTCCATATGACTATGAATAGAATTATTAGTGTACCTCAATGGAAGGACAAAGGATCGCACATATATGGGACTTAGCACTTCCATGTGTGTGTTCTCATGTGTGGCCTTTTATACATCCTGGTTTTTGATTTATCTTTATAGGAACACTTCTGGTTAATGGTTTAAAAGAGGTAAAAACTGGGATTCAGAAAATATATGTGACTAGCAAGCTTCTGGACTTGGGTTTAGACTTATCTGTGTATAGTTTTCAAATTTGAGAATTGTGTTTGTATCACTCTACTTTCCCACAAATTCTTATTTACCTTTCTAAGGAAGGCATTGTAAACAGTTTCTGAAATACAGTGTGAGATATTACTTGTTGTCAATTTGCACTAGTCTTGCTAGCATAGATTGTCCATTAAACCAACATGAAAACTGGACATCTTTCATGTAGATTAAAAAAAAAATTAGATGTGTGAGGCAGAGTCTTAGAGAGATCCCATCTGCTGGTTCCCTCCCTAAACGCCTGCATCATCCTGGGCTAGCAGGGCACAGAAAGCGTGAGCTAGGAACCCAGTCTAGGTCTCCCCGACGTGGGTTTCCTCACCGCTACCTTACACGCTAGGCTGAATGTCTGCCCCTGACCACACCTTTTGACATTCCATTTTCTGTGAGCATAGTAAATCTTCAGCAAGCTCCTGCTGAGTATATTCTACTTTGTGTATTTAACACAGGAAGAAAGGCAGGGTGTGTTGCCATGAGAACTGGAATTGCAGGGGGCTTATGGGATATTCTGAAATGTGAAGAAAAGGCAAAATTTGTATGCAAGCAATGGGCAGAAGGAGTGACTCGTCCACCAGAGCCCACCACAACTCCTGAACCTAGATGTCCAGAGGATTGGGGTACCACCAGCAAAACAAGCTTGTGTTTCAAGGTAAGTCTCAATAACTAAGCTAATAAAGAATTTGGAAGATACATTAGTTTATGGAGCTACGTAATTAAGTAAATATAAACAAGAAAAAAAAAAGACCAAAGCACACTGTTCATGTTCCACCTATAGACATTCTATTCTGACTTTGCTAATCTGGAGTGGGCCTAGGAATTAACTGCTTTTAAAGATTTCCCTGGAGGAATGTTAATGACCAGTTATACTTAGACCAATAGAAACAACCCACAGAAGTTTTTCTCACCTGCTTTGATCCTGGCTTCTTCCTTTTTCCTGCAGCTTTCTGGCCCTGGTCAGAGCTCACAGTTCTTTTGATTTTGATGAAAGCATCTGTTTATCTCCTTCCTACCTATTACCTATACTTTTCACTATCTTAACTGATAAACTAGTCTACCAGAGTGTCACATAGGCATTCTAGAAAGAATCTTCCATTTTTATGACTTAACCCCAATAGTTTTAATGATGAGAGAGGAAAGCATTGCCGGATGAGGTTGACTGGTTGAGTCCATGATCCCCGACAGAGTGGAAGTGATAGAGATTGAGGAGTTTTTCAATCTGGTTGGTAATTAGGCTTAAAAGCTACAGATGATAAAAAAAAGACACTCTAGGCCATGACAGAGGATAATGTAAATGGATTATTTTTGAGCTAACACAAAGAAAATCAGCCATTTTATTGTTACCTTTGAAGCCTTTCATGTTATTAAACAGCGATCAGATTCATCCTGTCTACAGTACTTCACCCAAGGCTGGCAGGCTGTGGATGGTTGCCATAGTCTTTTTAAAAGCAGTAGCACAATCATGTAGAGCTGGGAGGCAAACCAGGGGTTTCAGTAGAGATAATGATAAGGAAAATGAAAGTTCCAATAAATCAAACTATGTGCTTCACTAGAAGTTAGGTGTAGGGTTTGTTTCCAAATATGCTTGATGTGGGATTGGTTTCTGAAAACACAAACCTTTTTAAACACTGAGATGTGGAAATCAATAATAAAGTTCAACTTGTAGTAAATATATTCAAGAAAGAAAAATCTCATAGCATACTTAAAAAGATACAGTACTCTTGGGCGGTATTTATATGGAAGCATGTTCCTGACACCTCTCTCCAGAGCTCTAGTTGAGTTCGGGTCTTCAGTGAAAGCTGTTTTGAGTTGTGCTTTTTGTCTAACATTTTTATTTATTTGAAAGGCAGAATAAGAGAGAGGGAGAGAGAGAAACAGATAAACAGACAATTTCTTTCATTTGTTGATTTACTTCTCAAATGGCTGCAATGGTTGCAATGGTGAGGGCTGGGTCAGACTAAAGGTAACACCCAGGAGCTTCTTCTAGGTCTCCCGCATGGATGGTGGGGGCCAAGCACTTGGACCATCTTCCATTGATTTCCTAGCTACATTAGAAGGGAGTTGGATCAGAAGTGGAGTAGCCTGGACTTGAACTGGAGCCTGTGTGGGATGTCAGCATTACAAGTGGTAATGCTTTGCCCATTGTACCACAACACCAGCCCTTTGAGTTGCTTTCAGTCAGCTTGGGCAGGCACAATCTCTTCATCCTTTTTCCGTAAGTTTATTGTGGTGGAGGCCATGACTAAATTGTAAAAGTTAGTGGCTATGGTTAACTCCTATAGTGTTTGTGTACTATTTAATGCATCCAGGTTATCACTGTGGATTGTATTTTATTATCCTTTTTGCAGTCCTCTGGACAATATAGCACAGTGTCTATACTTTATAATCTGCTAACTTTAGTTTAGCTTATCTCTGTCCCATGAGTATCTGTGCTCCCATGAGTATCTGTGCTCCAATGGTTGTTAAAATGTGTCACCACAGGGCCCGGCATGATAGCCTAGTGGCTAAAGTCCTTGCCTTGCATCCTCTAGCATCCCTAATGGGTGTGGTTCATTTCCTGGCTTTTCTACTTCCCATCTAGCTCCCTGCTTATGGCCTGGGAAAGCAGTAGAGGATAGTCCAAAGTCTTGGGACCCTGCACCTGTGTGGGAGACAAAGCTCCTGGCTTCCAATTGGCTCAGCTCTGGACCTTGTGGCTACTTGGGAAGTAATTTTTGGATGATGATTTTTCTCTCTGTACCTCCTTCCTTCTGTATTTCTGCCTTTCCAATAAAAATAAGTTAATTTTTTAAAAAAATGTGTTACCACTAGAAAAAGAAGCAAGGATGATTTGAAAGACAGCATTGGCAGGTATTGAAGGACTGTCATGTTAGTCATTGTTTAACATAAACAGGATAATACGCTGTGGCACAGTTTTAGGGAGTGTATTTTTCTTGTTTGTGTTTACTTTCTCTGTGTCGAGTTTCTGTGTTTTTACACCTCAGTGTCAATATACCTTGTTAGGCATATGCCTTATTTATGCCTAACAAAATAATCCTTTCAGAATGAGCTGTGTACCTAAACTTTAAGCCTAAATTTTGTAAGAGTTTAATCTGATTTTCCTGTACTATGGAATACTTTTGTTTTCTGAAGTTTCCTCCGCAAGATTATCCCCCAGGTTTTTTTGGCCCAACCATTTGCTCACAAACTGATTTTAAACTAAGACAAGACAGTGTTCTTGGCCATTGCCATGCCTTGTTTTCCTTTGCTTTTTTTTTAAATTCAACTTTTCTTTTAATAGTTTACATAGTTAGGAATAATGTATGCCCATGTAGACCTCTGATTAGAGAGGGCAGGGTCCAGGTATGGAGGATGGTGGGTGGAATAACTGTTGCAGTTCTTTTCCCCTCACTGTTTCCAAAAGCAGGTGGTGGGGAAGGGGAGGAGGCTACTCCTTGCCGTTGAATTGCATCAGCACCCAGAGATGGAGGATGGTTATTTGATGATACCTTAGAGATGCCTTTCCTGTAATTGAGATTGCATCCAAAGTAAATAGTCATTTATTTTGATTTGATAATCTATGAAGTATAAATTAATTTCTGAAACTGTATCACCTTTAGCTGTTTGCCAAAGGAAAGCATGAGAAGAAAACATGGTTTGAATCTCGAGACTTCTGTAGAGCTGTGGGTGGTGAACTGGCCAGCATCAACAACAAAGAGGAACAGCAGATAATATGGAGGTTAATAACGTAAGTGTCTCTTCTCTCTCACACTACTTCACCTAGATGGTGCTCGTAATCGTGGGGAAGATTTTAAATTTATGAAATTGTTGGCTCAGGATGCAATTTGGAACACTTGCATTATATTCCAAATCCATAAGCTTTTTGGGGTCTGGTTTTACTTCCAAATCCTTTCATTTTACAGTTATCTATCCTGAGGTGAATTTCTATAAAAACAAAAAAGTATGAAATATTCAGTATGTATTTGTTAAATGGATTAATAGCTGTTTTTCAATATATTACAATGACTTATTCTCCAACAATGACCTGTTTTCAGAATATGTATGAGTTGTGCCAAAATGTATCCATTGTGTGATGATTGTATTTCATCATCAATTCTCTTTACTTATGTTGAAAATAATTTTCATGTCTAGTTGGCCGTTTGGTTTTATTTCACACAGTAGCATTGCTTTGTTGATATTTTGGGGATTGCAGGGCTACCGCAAGCTACCATGAACTGTTTTGGTTGGGACTGACACACGGAGGTACTTCAGAGGGCTTTACTTGGAGTGATGGCTCTCCTGTGAGTAATTTAATACATCATTTTCTTACTTTATTATGTATTCAACTTGGCTTACTCCAAATGTTTAGTAAGATAAGATATTATTAGATATATGTTATATATGGAGATATTTTTTCTATACCAAATAAACATTACTGGAGGATCACTGTCCTTCCCAATTGTGACTTAGTCCCCCTAGTCTTCAAGATATATGCATAGTTGACTGGATTAAAAAAACTAGAATGAAAAGTTATTCTGCTAGTTTATACAAGATATTACCTTCCTTTTACCCAGCATAATTGGTTAGTATTGAATTTCTTAAAAACTGAATGTTTTGTAACCTCGTTTAGATCAGTGGAACAAAAAACAAATGTTGATATTTGCAATAATAACGACAGAAGTTGCCATTCTGAGGGCAGAAGTGAGAGGCTAATGTACTTGCCGGTGGTATTAAACAGAACCAGTCGTAACAGGAAATGATTTTGTGTGATTTCATTTTCTCCCAGGGCTTGATTAAAATGCTTAACTTTAGGCTACATTGATATTTATATTTTGTATTTTTATTTCTGAAAAGTACATCATAATATATATTCTCAAACCTATGGACCCCATTGCTGCCTCAGGAACTTCTTGCAGGTCTCATTCCAGGACCCACGTTTCTTTTCACTGTTCTGTTTTGTCATAGTTTGGTGTATTCATTGGCAACATCTTATAGGTCTTTTCCTTTTTAAAGAATTAATAGAGTATCCTGCTTATCTAATAAAGAAAAATTTTCACCAACACATTGAAATGTTATCCCTTAAGAATGGTTTGTAAATTTAGAAATTCTCAATACTAAGCAAGGAAGTTTTTTTTTTCCCTTTGCAAAGTTTTCTATATAAATCCTAGTTTTGTACCCTTGAATCCATTCTATTTAATAAAAATAAAGAAAATGTTATAACAATTGTGCACTTTGGTTAACGTCAAAACTTTTCGTGTCATAAAAGCTATTTCTTTTCCAACTGTATTCATAAACTCTGATTTCAAAGCAAATCTATTGTGACATGTAAATGGGTTTTAGCAGTCCAAGCATATCTTTGCTTTTCTGTTTGAATGGAAGATTGGCATGGACAACCATGAACAGCTAATGGTTATAACACTCTTATTATAGGTTTCATATGAAAAGTGGGCTTTTGGAGAACCTAATAATTATCAAAATGTTGAATTTTGTGGTGAACTAAAGGCTGACCCTGGTATGAGCTGGAACGATGTCAACTGTGAACACCTTAACAACTGGATTTGCCAAATCCAAAAAGGTATGGTGACTACACACCCCAATATCATCCCTTTATTTAGGTAAACAAACAAAACAACAAAATATGGAAACTGTCAGGGCCATCATTTCACCGGATAGGAATGAAGTCACTGAGCACAGATAATTGTTCCAAAGGAACAGAAGATCAAAAGGCCACCCGGGAATCCTGGACAAGAGTCACGTCCTCCAAAATCGTTCCCACAAGCAGCTGTGACTCGGGCCTGTGTTCTGTCATGAGTGGCAGGAGTGGGTGGGCATCTTGTATGCTAAGCAGAACAATGAAAGGGCAAGGCAATTTCCTTTTCTCTCTCTCTTTTTCTTTCTTTAATTTTTGCCTTTTAAGCTTCCACATTAGTTATCAGATAGGTGAAATTTGCCCAAGTCTGAGTGTTTGAAGTATTGATTTCTCAAGTACCTGTTCAACAGAAAGAATAAGCATCATCTGGAGTCCCCTAATGATGTTAGACCTGTCATATTATTTATGGTCAAAATATATATATGATATCACTTATTACCTGTGACTCAGAAAGTTCTACATATCGAACTCAGGTATTGAGGTAAGAAAATCCAGGGTGTTATACTAAGATAGTAGAGTGCAGAAAAAAACAAATCTAAATGAGTTCAAACACATATCATCTTGTTCTAAGCAGGTAAATGAAGCCATGTTGCCCTTGGCTCTTTGCAATGTTGGAAACCATACCAACTGCTTCTGGGGACTCCGCATTGTTAACCTGTTGTCTGGCTGCTTATTTTCCTCACTCCTTCTGCTTCAATTAGTGCTTTCCAGGTTTCCAGAACAGAGGACTCAAGGGTGGAAAGTTTTTTAAAATTCCAATTGCCTTGACTAGTATTTATTTGTGTTATTCATCTTTCTATCCTTACAGGTTAAATATATAAAGTCCAAAGCCAAGTAACATGAGTCCTTTGATCAGATTTCAATGAAATCTAGATATTAACTACTTGGAAAGAAGAGATCTTTGGTTAAATTATAATAAAACACACATTTAATAAAATGTTTTTAGAAAAAAATACATTCTTTAAAATTCTCAAAAAAATTATTTGGTTGAGAGGAAGAGAGAGTGCCAGCTCCTGTCAACAGATCCTTCCCTCAATGTCTGCAATGGCCAGAATAGGGCCAGGCTTATATCAAGAGCTGGGAACTTAATCCAGTTTTCCCACAGGGATAGTCCCCAGAGTCTGAACTTAACAGGAAGCTGGAATCAGCACATGGGTATTGAACCCAGGAGCTTTAATAGGGAATATAGTTGTCTTAGCCAGCTTTTTGACCCTCAGCCCAAATTTTATATATTTTATTTATATTTTACGAATAGTTCATATTGGATGGTTTCAAATAATGATATTATAAGTACTTTTAAGGATGTCTGAAAAATAACATCTTTTTAGCACCTTCTAAATATCAATAACACATATCTTATCCTACCTATTTTCACATATTATCGATTTATTTTTGTATTTGACAAAATTAAGGCTAAGGAATTTAAGTCCAGTTTGAGATTTAAGTCCAAGTTGAGCTTACTGATTCTAAAATCCATGTTCCTTTATTTCTTTATGTGACATTACTTGCACCTAAAACTTGTATTACATCTTTTGGTGATCATTATTATACCTAGTTTGTTGAAGTTCTTAATTTTTCTTTATTCTCTTTTTCCGTAACAGGATGAACGGATTGGAGAGTGGAAGGGGAGGGAAAAAGAGAAAGAGGAGTTCAGGGTTTGGCAATATTGAATTATGAAAGCAGTGAAACCGGACATATGCTAACAGAAATTTGGGCACATGTCACACCTAATTTCCTTTCATTTTACAGGGCAAACACTAAAACCTGAGCCCACACCAGCTCCTCAAGACAGTAGGTGTTTTCTCATTTTCTGATTTGCACATTGAAATTTATGTTTGGTTTTCTTTTCCTTTCTCAACAGAAAAATTATTTACTGTAAGAGGACAGTGAGTGAAAGTTCTTATGTCTGTGAGAAGGTCCTAAAAAATTAGGTCTTCCTCTGTAAGAAGAATCTCATATGCTTGAACATAATGGCTATTAATATGGTTTCTCAAGGGCTTGTGAATCAGATCCAAGGCTCCAGATTTCTTCTTTTATAGCACATGGCCAATAGCCAATGGCTGCTGGAACAAACTTAGTGACTTGAAACAACATGCACTTGTTCTCTTGCAGTTACGGAAGCCAAATCTGAGGTCGGTTTCCTGGGCCCAAATCCAGAGGTCACCAGCACTGTTCTCCCTAGGGACTCTGAGAGGGAATCTATGTTCTTGCTTTTATCAGAATCTGGAGCTGCATTCTTTGCAATTCATGCTTCACATCCCCTTCTTCGTGGACAAAGTAGCAACATCTTACTTCATACTGCTTCTTTTTTACACAGTTAATACTCCTCCTACTGGCTTTGTAAATAAACCTGTTATTGCACACCTAGATAACCTTGATCTCCCAAAACCTTTCATCAGAGCCACAAGCTCCTCTTTTCATTATAAGATAGCACTCGTGGATTCCACAGATAAGGACCTGGCTGTGGTTTGGCGGCCTTGGTCTGTCTCCTCTAGCAGAGAACCTTAGAGTTTTCAGGTTTGGAAGAAACCTTAGGAGTCCTCACATTGAAGGAGACAAGTCCATCTGTTGAAAGTTCCTTTCAGATTGGGATGAAATCTGATTTCTTATAGTACTGACCGATTTAGAACATCGTGGGTGCACATGTGTAAATCCTTCCAACTGTGCTCTCTACCAGGGAAGGTAGCATGGGGAGTTCTTTAACCCAATAAAGACACATGGAAATTAGTTGAGTGGAGTCCATGGCTATAGGCGAGTCAGCCTGTGTTTGACATAGACATTCTATTTATTCTGGGCACTCAGGGTGGCAGGCACCTCTGTTATAGCAGATTAGTACTGTTTATTTTCATGTACCATGCTACTATATTCTTTAATTTGAGTACAATTCCATCTTTTTCTCCCAATTTTCAGATCCTCCAGTCACTGCAGATGGCTGGGTCATTTACAAAGACTACCAGTATTATTTTAGCAAGGAGAAAGAAACCATGGACAATGCACGTGCATTTTGCAAGAAGAATTTTGGTGATCTTGTTTCTATTAAAAGTGAAAGTGAAAAGAAGTTTCTGTGGAAATATGTAAGGATGTGATTCCTTTTAAGATTGGAATAGTGACACGTGATAAACAAAAATTGTATCCACAATTGGTATTTCATGATGCAGTTTCAAATTGTGTACTGAATTTGCACCTCCTAAGGTCAGGATAATGATGTGAATGCTGAGGGTCAAGGCAAAGGTTGGATCTTCTTGTTTAATTATCAGTGCGAGGAATTAAAAACTACAAAATATATTGTAACCTGTACTTTGTGAGAAATCATCCTGAAGGGATTTGAGTATAATAATTTTATTTTCAAAGATTATTATTCTTCACAAGTTTCTAGAAATCGCTCCTGGGCCTTTTGTGTATCATACAGATTGCTTTTTATTTTTAGAAAATCTGTCTTAGTTGGACCAAACTGTTGATAGCAGATAGAACAGCTTGATAATTCCTATAAAAATCTGTCTTGGTTGTAACCAAATGATCCAGTGTCCCTGGAAGTACAGTGTATTTTTTTTTTTTTGAGAGTTCATAGCTCAGTATCTTTCTGATTAAAAATCTGTATGACATCTTCCCTGTTTGCCAGAGAAAAGGTAAGAGGGAAAACAGCCAAAATAAATGGAGCGGTACAAAGGTACTAGATTGTAACTTGATTGGTTAGTATTTTTGTGGATATTCCTAGTTTTCATTTGAAAATTCTCAGGATATTTGCTTATATTGCATAAATGCATGTATTTATCACATTTTAATATATTTTCACATACACACAATGATACCTCAAAAATTTCAGGGAAAGTAGATTCAAAAGTAAGTTTATTTTGGTGAAAAACAATTTCAAAATTTATGCATAATTTTCTCAGAATGCTGATTTTCCACAGACTTTTGGAACACCCATCATTTGCATAGATTTTGTATATTTTTTGCATTAAGTTGTATTGCCTTTTAGTACCATTTTCTACAGTTTTGTTGAAAGTACAGTTGTGTGTGTATATGTGTGTGTGCATAGTCTTTCCTTTATACACAATCCCAGTTCATTACCTTTGTTTTCAATATTGTCTTCAGCGTGTTAACCACTATAAGCAAATACTGTAGTTATTTGGAAGTACAGAGAATGACTTTAGATATCTGCTTTATAAATACAGGTTACTAAATTATGTGCATATTTTCTTTATTTCTATGAAAAATATAATTTATAACATATAATGGCATTTCTACACATATTTCTTCTTAGAAAGGGTCCAAATAGATTACCTCATTAAGACACAGATATTATTTAAGAGTTTGTTTACTAAATGATCGTAAATAAAATTACATGTAAATTTCCTTGTTTTAGGTAAACAAGAATGATGCACAGACAGCATATTTTATTGGTTTATTGGTCAGCTTGGATAAAAAGTTTGCGTAAGTAAATCAAACTAAGACAACTTTGCTTAGGATAGTGATTTCATAAAATATGTTATTTTGTTTTGCTGAATGCATTTTTAAAAAATTATACAGTGTTGTCAAATAATTTAGAAATAATCCTATTCATTTTTAAAACATTATGTTTCTCAAGTCAGAATTGGATTTGGACTTTTAAAAACATCATCTCTGCTTGATAATATCATAAAGTCATCAGTAAATCATTTCCTAAAAAGAGGTAAATTCACAAATGCTGAATTTATTTGGAAAACTATTAACTCCCTCTGAATTAACCTTGAGTCAGAGCCCAAAGACCTTGCCCTGTGGCCCCACTCACGTGAAACACATTTTCAATAAAAATCTTATTCTATTTCAATACATGGGCAGATGTCCTTGCCTCCAAAGTTTTGTGTGGCTGTTATACCCTTCTTGAGCAATGAGCAGCTCAGCTCAAGACTGTAAAGAATAGAAATGGCTTGTATTCCTTTCAGCAAGCGCTGTTTTTATCATTTCTAAAATAAGAGGGTTGAATTTGATGCTCTCTTGGTCTCTTTCCTTAGCTCACAGTCTCTAAATTTATATAATTTACAAAAATAATCATGGCCCAGCAACCTTATGACAGAGGATATGGACATCAGAATCAAAGAATGGGCCTAATGAGAAATTCTGTATTCATGGTCCCTGTAAGGAGGAGTTTTGTTTTGTGAAAATCATGACCAAGGAGTGCTGGGAGATTTTTGCTTCTGGCCCACAGCCAGAATAATAGGGATCTCCATTTCTTCCATTGCTTCATATTAAGGTAGTTTCTTCTGGAAGGGAAAAGAAAGCCATTGCATCAGATTGATCCAAAGGACCCCAGTGAGCACCCAGGTCTTGGGGGCTTTCCTGCCAGTTTGAGTCCCGATGCTCTAATCACATAGTGCCTTATGCTCCCTCCATCTTGACTGACTACCCTTTCCCAACACTAGGCTGCAGCCAATTATTCTAATCATTAGATTGTTGCAAAATTCCTGACTTTTCTTTTCCAGTTGGATGGATGGAAGCAAAGTGGATTATGTGGCCTGGGCCACAGGTGAACCCAATTTTGCAAATGAGGATGAAAACTGTGTAACTATGTATTCAAATTCAGGTAGACAATACACAAATCTTTTTGAATTTGCTTTGTGGTGTGATGTGTCAATTTCTACATCTTTAGGACAATAATTGCAAGTTGTGGGCAAGAAAAGCAGCAAGAAAGGGGAAACTTTGTATTTGCAGCACAAGTGTTGTATTTGTAAGGAGAGGGAAAGCTTACAGCTACACTAATGAATGACAGTCAGTCTTCTCAGTCCTTCCCAAATGATGAAACTTTTTTTTTCAGAATCTGATTTGAGGAAAATATCCACAATCTCTTTATCACCTTTCTCTCTCTTTAGCCTCTATTATTCTGTAAAATAGGAATACCTAAAATATTTTCTGCTATTAAGAAGATTGAATAAGATAACTTAAAACAAAGTATATGTATGTTATATATAAAGTTTAGGTTTTATTAGATTATTGCTTTTAAATAATAATCTTTGCTATTATTTTGCTATTATTTTTAAATATGCTTGCTATATATTTACATAATATATCTGTTGCATGACTTTACATAATAAATCTGAAAGTGCATGATTTTGTTTATAGGAATCTGTAAATTTGGGCTGTGGTTAGTTTAAGAGAAAGAAGCGAAGTGCTATCATGTGAACTCTTATCACTATGTAAAAATAGTATGATTATATTCTAAGTCATTTTGAGGAATCCTTATGAAATATACAGTTTTAAAGCAAGAATAAATGTTTTTGAAGACAAACATGTAGATCTAAACGAACCGTTTTGCTCCTTGCCAGGGTTTTGGAATGATATTAACTGTGGTTACCCAAATGCCTTCATTTGCCAACGGCATAACAGCAGCATCAATGCCACGGCTTTGCCTACTGTACCACCAGGCCCACGTGGTTGTAAGGAAGGGTGGCAACTTTACAATAACAAGGTACCAGAAGAATTAGGCATAATTTTGGCATAGAACAATATGTAGAGTGACAGTGTGAATCTATCTGCCCAATGTTAGAGTTCCCATACTTGATTATTCTTAAAAATATTTGGCAACAATGAATGAAAATTCCCATCCCATAGTCTCAGTGAAAATTCAGAGCCTAATTGAAATATCACTCAATAGATGGCACCTTTTATTTCAAAGGGGAATACAACTTGGCAGACAGATTGTGGCTGATGAAAGTTAAATTTTGAAATAAACCTTATCAGATTGTGAGAAAATTTATCTTCAGTTGCACTCTCCATTTTGATTTCTTTAGATTTGATTTGATTAGTACAAACATTATCTTTAGATAATTGCTTTAGTTTTTGTTCACTGTTACCTTTTCTCTCAGTGTTTCAAAATTTTCGGCTTCACTGGAGAAGAAAAAAAAAATTGGCAAGATGCACGAAAGGCTTGCATCGGACTTGGAGGAAATTTGGTATCCATTCACAATGAAAAGGAGCAAGGTATGTGGGTCTTTTTATGATCCGTGATGCACTTCAGTAGGCCATTTTTCCCATGAAATGATCAGACTTTGTTGTCTAAGTGGATGTTATCATTGTTTCCGAGGATAAAACCTACCAAGGGGCAAAATCATGGAACACTTACTGTGAAGGATTTTACTCAGTTGTAGGCACCATGCTAGCATTTTACACCAAATCCCTTTCTGTTGTCAAAGTTCTTTGAAGCAGGTATCATTGCTCATTGCTAGGTAGGAGGAAATGGTGTTCAGAGCATGTTGAGTTTAAGGAGCTTAGGCAGAGAGCATTGGAGTTGAGAAGCAAACCTGAGTTGGCCCAGCTTGAATCTCATCCCATTCCACCAAAGAAAGAGCCAAAGAAGAGTAATTCAAATACAATGAAATCAGTGAATGCCCATTGACTGCACTTTTTATCACTCATTTGTATGTTATAAAACAATGAAGCTATTACTTTAAAGGTGAGCTGAACAAATTGAAAAATGTCCTTGATTTGAATGACAGCAGAAACTAAAATATGAAAAGTGCTGAAGGAGAACAGATTATACAAGTTGCTGCATTTCTCTCAGGAGAAGTGCACTTAAGAGTGTGCACTCACTTTTCAGGGTTGCTTTTGCTCTAAAAGGCATTGTGTTAATTTCTGTCTCATTCTTTAAGAAGAAGGTTGGTTAGTGGCAGGAAATTTAGGTTAAACTGAGGAAGTGTTTGGAAGTCACTCCACTGCCAGCCGGTAAGGGCTGAAAAAACCCTTGTATCGCACACATAGAGAAAGAGAAGATATGGACTTTAAAGAATTATCCTGTGTGTCTCCAGAAGGAAGTCCTAGACTGAGTAGCAATTACAGGAAAATAGATTTAGGTTCAAAACCAGGAGTGCATTGTAACAGCTGAAAACGGCTGGTGGAGTTACTTCTTGTGGGAGATCAGGTTTCTAAAAGGCTATGAAAATGCTTTAACTGGAATGTTCTCAAACAATGTGCCACACAAGTCACTCAGAGTGGCTGGCAAGTGTGGAATATGCCCGTTTGGGAGAATATCGTATAGAAGCAATGTGGACTGGATATTCTGTAAATTTTTCTTTGGTTCTGAGAGTTTCAGATTTCCCACATAATTTATCAAGAAAAGTGATGTGTCTCAAAAACTGTTTAAGAAGAAGGAAGACACCAGTAACCTGCATGGTGCTTTCCCTAACCTTTCTTTTAGTGTACAAAGGCAGTCACATGCTCTCTTAATTACAGGGTACCACAAACCAACCCAGCTTTCCCTGAGGATCTTTGACACGTTCCACAACTTGCCAGGGAGTGAAAGAAAGGATCAATCCACGGCACCTAGTGTAAGGATGCAACACGCACATTTCTCGAACTGGCTTACTTCAGGCTTAGCTATTCAGCAAAGAAACACAAGAATTGATTTCCTCTCAGAACCACAAAGTATTGATTCCTGGCACAAAGAAATTAGAACCTGGGTAATGGAGGAGTGGAGTGCAGAAGGAAACAATTTTCAGATTAAATAACATTATTCCTGGCAAAACAGGCTTACGTGGTTGCATTCTTATTGTGGTTGTTGGCAGAGAAAGAGAAGTGAGTGCTAAATATTGGCAGGTAGAGCTTTTCCACATTTCATTTCAAATTGGGGATAAAGCTAAATTTATGATGTTATTTGAGAAACAAAATAAAACCCACATAAATATCTAGTCATGCTCCTTTCTCCCTAAAAAATGTTGGAAGAAAAGTTTTATTATTATTTTATCTTTAGTTCACTAAGAAGATAGTAAATCCTTGATTGAAGTGGATGCTGCCTCTATTACTGTATAGAAAGAGAAAGCGTACAGCAGTACCCTTCCACAAATGTTGTATGTTCATGAATAAACTGATCGCGGTAGATTAAGAGACAGATCTGTCCACTGCTTCTCTCCAATAATGGCTGCAACAGGATGAAGCTAGAAGTCAAGAACTCAATTTTGGACCCCTATGTGTGTGGCAGGTGCCCAAGTACTTGGGCGATCTTCCACGGCTTTCTGAGGCGTATGTGCAGGGAACTGGTTTGGAAGCAAAGCAGCAAGGACTTGAAGCAGAGCTCCAAAATGATATGCCAGCAGCACAGGCAACAGCTTAGATCACGACATCACAGTTCCAGCCCCTAGTTTGCATTTTGTATTAGTGCCTCTAAATGCCTCCCTGTCCTATTTTATATTTACTTTTTAAAGCATGAACAATTACAAATTATTGTCCTATAGAGTAGATGCTCTTCTTCCAGGAATCACTGGCAATGTCAACTGGGCTGCTTCTTGCATGGTGGTACACAGTGCATCCTAGCTTGGTATGCAAAGGCTGGAAAGTGGCGCCTGGGAGCAACTTCTTGCCCTGGTGTGTTCAGACAGGGCAGAACTGCCTGCCACTGGCCTTGATGAAAGCTTCTATTCTAAGGAATTTTTCAAAGTCCAAAGCTCATTTGATAGCACAAGACTAAGCTTAGAACATTTCATTTTCATGATATGTGCTTTTCATCAAGGATAAAGATATTTTGAATATTTTCCATATTTTGAATTTTCATTCCCCAGTTTTAAAATTATTTTCTGAACTTTGTTCCAGTATTTCTGACCTATCATATGAAGGACTCCACTTTCAATGTCTGGACTGGACTCAATGATATCAATTCCGAGCACACGTTCCTTTGGACAGATGGGAGAGGAGTTCATTACACAAACTGGGGTAAAGGCTTTCCTGGAGGACGAAGAAGCAGTCTTTCTTATGAAGATGTAAGTATCAGTTTCAGGGCAACTTTTTCTATTCTGTTAACTTGTATAGATCATCATATCATTGATAAATCTCCTAAGAGGACTTGATCACAGCATTCCTTACTCTAGCCTATTCTTTCACATTTTAACTGTTTCAGATTGAGCCACCCATAAGAAAAAAGGCTTAAATTTAGCTAAGAATTCTTTGGAGGTGGGGAAAATGGGCAGTGGGAAAAGCAGCACCTTGCTGAGCCTGTTACAATCAGGAGAAACATTTGTCCCCAAAAGTATCAACTTTTTTTTTTTTTTTTGCATCGGCTTCCCCATGTCCCCTGCAGCTGTTAGGGTATTGGTGGTGTAATTTTGAAAGCTGCTACTACTTCTAAAGATGCCATCAGCATTATCATGATCATTGCTGAGGTCACATTAATTTTTAAAGTACTTATTGTGTGCTAGTCTTTTAAATTTGTCAAAATGTGCTTTTTAAAAATTTGCTTTGGGAGTACATGTACTGTATTTGTCAAAGGAGATAGGCCAGCATGCCAAGAATGCAGAACAGAAAGAGGAAGGGAACCTCTGGCCTCTACGATGTTGGTGAGCCACATGCTGCATTTCATCAATTTGAGGATACACACTTTTCATACATGAACATTTCTACAGTAAGATTCATACCCATCATCAATGGCACGTCAGAGTTTGATCAGTAGTTATTCATTACAGGAATATACAATAACAGAATATTTTTCAATTGGTGATGTCCAAAATGCAATGAAATCCTGCAATTGCTTATCTATCTTGGGTCTTATTTCATGGAGGTGATACCTGTTCCTCACTGTTTAACTGCCTGAACTAAACTTTTTTATTCAAATGACAGTCTAGATGCAAACCTGAACTTTTATAGCGTTGGGCTGCTGCTTCCACTGCTGCCACAGCCTAACCATGTAAATGGAAATGCTTAGGGGCACGGGCAGAGGCCATTTCCAGGAATTTGCTATCAGTATAAGGTCATGAACTACCCTATCGGCTACACCTCATCCAAGCCTTTGGGAAGCTGGGTTTGATCATCTGATCTCACATCAATCTTCCTTCTACTTCCCCATTCCTTTGAAATGAAAAATGCATATTTCAAACACGCATCTCCCTTTCTCCCTTTCTCTCACACACACTCACTTACTTACCATAAGACACACTTTGACAAATGTTCTTGTACCTCAGTTACCTAATCTCTAAAGTGAACACAGTCACAGTACCTAACTCATAGGATGTATGTATATTGAATTAATACATAAAACATTATGAATGAGTGTAAACTGTAATATTATAACCAAAATTTTCATCTGATACTGGATAAAAACTGTCAGGTTCAGGTTTAGGTTTGGAAGTTTTTTTTTTCAGATGTATTTATTTTTATTAAAAGGAAGACTTACAGAGAGAAGAGATAGATCTTCCATCCACTTGTTTACTCCCCAAGTTACACAACAGCCAGAGCTGAGCTGAGCTGAGGCCAGGAGCCAGGAGCTTCTTCCAGGTCTCCCACGTGAGTGCAGGGTCCCGAGGCTTTAGGCCATCCTCGACTGCTTTCCCAGGCCACAAACAGGGAGCTGTATGGGAAGTGGAGCAGCTGAGACTCGAACCAGTGCTCATATGGGATCCTGGTGCATGCAAGGCAAGGATTTAGCTACTAGGCCATCATGCCAGGCCTGGGTTTGGAGGCTTAATGGATTATTTTATTCACTTTTGGTTGAGATACTATCCTTTGGGTTAAAATTAACCAGGCAGGTTTAAATATTTTTGGGGAGTGTATGATATATATCTATTTTTTCCATTATTTATTAATTTTTATATCATTTTATGACACAGTTTCATAGACTCTTGGATTCCCCCAGCCCCTCCCAAACCCTCCCCCGTATTGAATTCCCCCATATTGTTATAGTAGTACAATTCATAACCAGTCATGATTCCTTGATTGCGGGCATGGACCATGTGGAGAGTCCAGCATCTTATTGTCTAGATAAATTCAACAGTTTCATTGGGAGACCATCCTTGGTCTGAAAGTAGAGCTGACAGAATATCTTCTCCTCCAATGAGATGTCACTACACAACTTCCACAACAGGAAGAAACATGGAAATTAACAACATCATGAAGTTAATTAATATGGTATTGAGTGACCAATATGTTAGAAAATGCAAGTTCTTAACCGCATCCTGTAACTACTTCCTTGACATCTCAATTTTAGTATATGCACAACCAGCTGCTATAAACCTTTTTTTCCCCCTCCCAAGCTAACATGTTTTTGAGTTTAACCTAAATCAGAGTGGCACAGGAACAGTGGAAGCATCAACATTAACATCCATCATATATATAACAGCTGAGTACAAACTTAACAGCAAAGTTTCTATGCAGTTACATCTTGTTTAGCATTAATAGTCATAAATTGGTAAAGTTTTTTTGGGGGAGAATCTTAAGCCACAGTTTAAACTTTGCAGTATATAGTGATTAAGCATAGTTCTACAGAACTTTGCATTTTAACAATTGAAAAATAGAAAAGTTTTAGGCAGATGAGCAGGGAAATCCCCAACAACCTAGTGGGTGAGGAGGAATTTAACTCTACATTCTACCCAGTAAAATCCGGGAGAAGCAAATAGGGAGCCTGACCAGTAAATACAGGCTGAGCGATTATAGGTTAGCTGGCCTTTTCCCTGGCTAGTCCAGGCTTTCTCTATCAGTGTCTCTATCTGAAAAGCCAAATGATATTTTTCTAGTTCTGGCATACTCCCTTGTAAGAGTATAAGTAAGATGTGAAGCCTTTCTAGCTAAATTAGCAATTTTCTTTGAATCTATGATAACATGTCTGTAAATTAGCAGAGCAATGATAGAGGTCTGACCAAGACTCCGTATTTTGGTGCAGGCATCCCAAATGGGTGCTGCTTTGAGTCCCTGCTGTTCCACTTCTGATCCACCTCCCTGCTGATGTCCTAACAAAACAATGGAGGATGGCCCAAGTCTTTGGACCCCAGCACCCATGTGGAAGTTCTAGCTCTCAGCTGTGGCTGTTACAGCCATTTGGAACCAGCAATGGAAAATTTCTCTGTCTCTGTCCCCTCTCTCTAACTCCGCCTTTCCAGTGATAAATAAACCTTTAATAATGATAGATACAAAATATGCTTATTTTCTTTTACCAATAAGGTGTCTGAGTTTGAATAATAAGCGTCTGTGTGGGGAGAATATTGTATTCTCTAATGTCTTTCGTTTGAAGTCTGAAGTTTGATAGTAATTAACAAGATCTCTGATAGCAGCGTTGTTCAGCCACATCGTTCAAATTTATCCATCCTGCTTTTTTTGTTTGTTTTGCTTCTAATTTGGATAATGAGTTCAAGTGGACCAGCATGGTTGGGTGTACAGGAATCACGTATTAAACGTGTTCATTAGGATGCCCTTAAACTTTTGAAGCTAGGGAACAGAAAGTTTGTTTTCTTTTGATTAATTGACTTAAGTAATTTTGATTTGTGGTTGTTTTCCTTTTCTTCACCATAATTACACAGGCAGACTGTGTGGCTATTATTGGAGGGAAATCAAGAGAGGCTGGGAAATGGATGGATGACACCTGTGACAGTAAGCAAGGCTATGTATGCCAGATGCCTTCCGGTAAGTCCTGTCATGCTCTACCTGCTCGTAAGAGTTAGCTTTTATTATGACCACTTCCATGTGCATCAATAAATCTGCTTTATTCTTGCTTGCATCCATGTGTACCTGTGGCAGACAAAGTGGGTAGTATTTTCTAAACTTCATTCATGAGTGTGCTCTTTGATTCATTGCTAGAAAGCTTTGTACAGACTAATTTTGTTAGAAAATTGGGGTATTTACTTACCCAGATATCTTTTTTTCCCCCAAAACATGTTTCTATTTATATGAAGAGCAGAATTACACAGTGGGAGATGTGAAGTTTTTTCACCTGCTGGATCATTTGTCAGATGGCTGCAATAGCCAGGTTTGGAAATGAAATATGAGGGCCATTATCCACTGCCTTCCCATGCGCATGTGCAGGAAGCTGGATGGAAAGTGTGGAGGAGTCAGTACTTGCCCCAAACACTACAATTTAGGATGCCAGTGTCATTTACTGCATTAGCTACAGTCCTCATTTCTTGAATCCCTTTTAAATGTCAGAACTGAAATAACTCAGTTCAACTCACAAAACTTGAGACATATTGGCACAAAACATCATAAATAGTTCACTCTCTGTTCCATAGTATATCTTTTTTAAAAAGGGAGTTATTTATGTTTATTGCAAAGGTAGATTTACAGAGAGGAGAGACAGAAAAATCTTCTTTCTTCTGATTCAGTCCTCAACAGTCTCTGTGGTTGGAGCTAAGCTGATCAAAACTAAGAGCCAGTAGTCTCTTCTGCGTGTTCCATGAAGGCGCAAGGTCCCAAGGACTGGAGCCATTCTTTACTGCTTTTCCAGGCCATCCACAGAGAGCTGGATTGGAAGTTGAACAGATAGCACACAAACCAATGCCCATATTAGGTGCTGATGCTTGCAGGTTAGAAGATTAGTCTATTGAGCCACCGTCAGGGCCCCTCTCCTCCTCCCCTCGCTCCTCCTCTGCCTCTCTGTGACTTTGCCTTCCAAGTGAAACAAGGCACAACACTTAAAAAAATATATGAGCATTCTTGCTTGTTCTTAGATATCAGAGAGAACGCTTCTCCCCATTTCACATGTTTTTTGTTGACTTCTTCTATATGACCTGTATTATTTTAAAGTGCATTCCCATCATTCATAGTTTGCTCACATTTTTTTTATCCTGAAGGAAAATTGAATTTTATCAAATGTTTTCTCTGGATTGAAGATGAATACTTTTGTTTGTAAAATAATGCTGTTGACTGTGGTACATCATATTTGTGGATCTGTCTGTATTTAAACAATTGTACATACCTGGGATGAATCCTATTTCACCATGGAGAAAATCCTTTTAATGGGTTATTGGATTCGACTTTCCAGTATTTTGTTGGGAACTTTTGCATCTCTCTGCATCAAGAATTTTGTCCTGTAGCTTTATTTTTGTTGGTGTTGTTTTTGAGTCCTGGTCTTGTTTCAGTTATCAGGTTAATGCTGGACACAAAGAATGAATTTGGAAGAATTCCTCTGTGTCTTTGGAATAATTTAAGAGGTTTGGACATTCACTGTTCCTTAAATGTCTAAGGAAGTTCAGCAGTGAAACCATCTAGTCTTCAACTTTTCTTTGATGGGAGTGACTTATATTACTGATCAAATCCTCAATACCCTCTATTCATGATTCATTGTAAGGTATATGCTTTTAGGAGTTTGTTCATTTCCTCTGGATTATCAAGTTATGATTTCTTTAAAAAATGATTTTTGAGATACAAAATCTCTCTCTCTTTCACACACACACACACACACACACACACACACACACACACACACACACACACAGAAAGAGAGAGAGAAAAACTTTCCATTTGCTGGTTCATGCCCCAAATGGCCACAGCAACCAGATTGAAGCCAGTAACTAGAAACTCCGTTGGGATGTGCATGGATGGCAGGTGCCCAAGCATGGAGCCTTGTTCTCCACTGCCTTCTCAGGCACTTTGTCAGGGAGATGGGTCAGAAATGGAATAGCCAGGACTCGAACTGGTGCTCTGACCATGATGCTCTGGATGACAGTGTTTCAAGCAGTGCTTAACCCACTGGTCAAAGCAGGCTGACGCCTCTCCAGCAACTCATTTTTTTGTATCTGATCTTATTTATTTGCATCTTCTTCCCCTCCCCCACCTCTTCTGACTCTAACTTGGGTTTGTTAATGTTGTTTTCCTTTCAGAAGCCAAGTCTTCATTTTGTTGATATTTTTTTCTACCTCGAAAACTCTCTTAATTCATTTGTTTCTAATATGGTTTTTAATGTAAGCATTACTTGCTATATATGTCTGTCTAGGTAGTGTTTTTGGTGGACCCGATGGATTTTGGTACGTTATGTTTCTATTTGCATTTGTTTTAAGGAAGTGTTAAGGTTCCTTATTAATTTATTCCTTGATTCACTGGTTGCTCAGATGTGAATTGTTTAATTTCCATATATTTATGTAGATTCCATAATTTTTGTTATTGATATCTAGCTTCATTGCTTTACAATCAGTAAAAGTACTAAAAGTGATTTTTATTTTTAAAAATTTATTGAGATTTGTTTTATGATCTACAGTATGATCTGTTCTGGAGCATGTTTTATGTGTTTTTGGGAAGAATTGTGTTATGCAGATGGATGGAATGTTCTGTAAATATCTGTTGGCCTAATTTAGAGAGTCTAGTTTTGATGTTTGTTGATTTTCTTTTGGAATGATCTGTTTCTGGAATTGAGGTGTTTAAGTCATGTACTTCTCTGATCTTTAGGTCTGTTGCTGTTTGTTTTATGTATTTGGGTGCACCAATATTGAGTGCATATCTGTTTATAAATTTGGCTCAATTTGCTGAATCAAATGCTTTTAATTAAGCTTTTGGTTTTGATATATGCAATATGTATTTCTGGTCATGCTTCCTTTTGGATTATATTTATATGGAATTATCTTATTCTTTTTGCTTGCAGTCTATATATATTGTTAAGGCTGACAAAGTTTCTTGTAGCAGTTCAGTTTTGCATTGTATTCTCTCAGTCACTATATGGGATTCAAGAGATTGGAAGTTTTAATCCATTGATATTTGAGGTGATTATTGGTAGTGTAAGTCTTACTACTGCCATTTCAATACTTGCTTTCTAGTTTTATTGTATTTCCTTGTTTATTTGTTAAATGTATTATACAATTCAATTTTGGTAAATGTACCACAGATTTTAGCAGGTTTTTGCTTTGTGCTCACTATTAGAGTTACAAAAAGCAACTTTTGGACATAGAAAGTTATTTTGAAATGATAGTAACTTTGCTTATAAAGATAGGAAAAAAAGCAAAGAAGAAAAACATGTAAGGAATATTAATGAAGAACCCACACCTACACGCCTTCCACATCTGCATTTTGGATTTCTGATGCTGTATTTTGTGTCTTATTATGTTGCTTATCTCTATACACATTAATGCAGTTAATTCTTAAAATCATTAAAAATACTAAAACCACAAATGGTTTATAATCCATACTTACACTACCAGGGTATCCTAGATTTATGTAGTTACTTTTATCATGGAACTTTCTATCTTTGGATTTTTCTTCTCATCCATTAGTCTCTCTGTCTCTCTTCAGTGTGAGTAACTCCCTATAGCATTTCTCGTAAGACAGATCTGAGGTTACAAATCCTCTCAACTTTGTATTGTTGGAACATCTTTAAGCTCTTCACAGCTAACTGACAACTTGCTAGGTACAGTGGTATCAGTTGGCAAGTTTTTTCCGTTGATTCTGTGAAAGTCTCATTCTGCTCCTTTCTGCCCTGTAAGCTATCTGGTGAGGAGTCCGCAATCAGTCAAACCGGGATCTTGTTAGTTTCTTTTCGGTTTCAGTTTCAAGGACCTCCTCTTTCTCTTTAACATCAAGACAGCTTGATTATAATATGTTGTGGTAAGCTGTGGAGTTGAATCTGACCCCTAACCTTTGATTTTCCCAAACCTGAACAGTTGTATCCTTCTGTAAGTTTGGTTGAACATGATTTTTTTTGAACATGCTCAATTGTGTCTTCACGTCCTGCTTAAGCCTCAGTAACTTGTACATTTGCTCTTTTCATAAAACTTTCCATAAGCTTCCATCTGTTCTTCTTGATTTCTTTGTCCTCAATTGTGTTTTCACTGATTGACTCTTCTCTTTGAGCCATTCTGCTGCTGATGCCTTTTATTATGGTTTAAATTTCATTTACTGTACTTGGTGTTTCATGGATTTCTGCTTCAGTTGTAAAAGTTACTCTCTTCTCTGTTAAGTCTATTAGAGTAGTAAGCTGTTTTTCTCATGTTCTCTTGAAGTTCACTGAGTTACCTTGAAACAGTTGCCAGTTGCTATCTGATTGTTTACTGTCACCTTATTTTGTTTGTTAGGTAAAGGCATAATTAATATTTATTGGAGTTTTTAAATGATTATTTCTGTATGATGTTGTGTATGCCGTGAAGGAAAACTTTCATTAGGGCCATCTTTCCAGATACTATAAATGGTCTGCTTCTCTGAGCCTGTGGATACTTCTGTTCTTTCAGCATTAGATGACTGCATAGGTCAAAATTGGCCTTAAGTCCGTTGTTAGTGTGTTGTCACATTTCAGACTCAAATTTGTACCAAATCAGCAGTGGACGTGTTCAAAATTAAGTGAAGACATGCTTAATAAGCATAGTGCATTTTGGAAAATCCTTTCCCGAAGCTGGCATAGACGTAGATGCCTAGTCCCGTGCCTACTGACCCTGCCATGCTCCACTGCATCTGAATGCCATGGCTCACTGAGTTCAGTGCAGCCTGGGATGAAGATCAAACCCAACACTGCTGCAAACAGTCACTTTCTGAAGAGGGCTCCTAGCGTTAGGAGGCCTCAACCAATCACAGGCAATGTTGGTTGAGCTATGCAAATCTGTCCAATGAGGGCTGCAGGACTATGCTTATACTAGTGCATGTCCATTCATATGCACTGACTGGGGGATACAGACTAAGGATTTTTCTGTTTCACTCCCCAAATGGCCACACTAGCTAGAGGTAGGCTGGTCTGAAGCCAGGAGGCAGGAAAGCCTTCTGCATCTCCCACATGGGTGCCGGGGCCAAAGGACTTGGGCCATCCTCTGTTGCTTTTCCAGGCCACTAGCAGCGAGTTGGATCTGAAGTGGAGCTGTCAGGACTTGAACTGGCACCCATATGGGATGCTGGCGCCACAGATGGATGATGAGCTTTTTGTTCCACTGTCCTGGCCCCACAGTAGATATGCTTTACTGCCTGCCAGAAGTTTGGGATGGATGGCAAAGGCAGCCAGCCTATTGGCCAGCAGATCTATACTAAACCATTTCTCACCTGGGTTTCACTGTCACAAAACCTTGCAGATTCTTGGGAGTCCTGCCAGGCCCACACAACGCTAACAGTGAAATATGCCAAAATATGCCCCTCCCAGGGCACACAGATCTGCCTGAGGCTTTGGTGGGATTAGAGGATGTGTCCACAGGCACTGGCCTAAGGGTTGAGGCTTTCTGGCTTCATTTGGTGTTTCCAAAGAGGACTGGCTCTGGACCTCAGGGAAACTCCCTTTCCCAACCTACTTCCCAGCAAGTGGAATGTGGCTTCGCTTTCAGACGTTGAAGAAGTCCTAGTGGGGCAGCCTTTGGCCACCCAGCTAAGGATGATCCAAAGGCTGTATTTGCTGGTACTGACTAGGGAGCAGCAGCTGCGAGACACATTCTGGCCCTGATTTTTATTGTGATCAGCCTGGCACTGGGTTTCAAGTCTAAGCATTGGAGTTCAGTTCTTTTCCCTCCTGCAGGTGGAAGGTAAGGTGTCTCTCTTTATGCTGTGCTTTTGAGCTGGGGGAGGGGTGACACAGGCAAGTCTTTCTTCCTTGCTTTCTTCAATGATTCTTAGCATTACAATCCTAATATCAGGGACTGTAGTCTCTCACTTCATTGCTAGTTCACACTGTGTGACCATGTGGCGATAATTGCCAGAGCCCCCTTACCTGCTGTCTTGAAGATTTCTGTAAATGAACAAATTAAACAGAGAAGCTAAGCTTTCTAGTATAAGCAGGCAGACTCCCAAAAACTCCATGGAAAGAGAAAACTGTGCAAAAACGCCGCCTGGGTTGCAAATTTATTTTGCACTGAAGTGACCTTCTCTTTTTATTCCATATTTCCATGAACTATTTGAAGCATCTTCTTGGGATTTAGATTTTGTTCTTCAGGCTTCATTTGCCACTTTTAATGACCTAAGATATGTATTTTTAAAGATTTATTTATTTTATTGGAAAGTCAAGGAGAGGAGACAGACAGAAAGATATTTGGTTCACTGATTCAATCCCAAAGTGGCTGCAACAACCAGAGCTGAGCTGAGCTGAAGCCAGGAGCCAGGAGCTTCTTCTGGATCTCCCATATGGGTGCAGGGTCCCAAAGCTTTGGCTGTCCTTGACTGCTTTACCAGGCCACAAACACGGAGCTGTATTGGAAGTGGAGCATCCAGGACATGAATCAGCACCCATATGGGATGTTGGATCATGCATGGCAAGGATTCAGCCACTAGGCTACTGTGCTGGGACCCAAGATATTTCTAATCAGATTAAAATGTGTCTAGATCTCCCCAAATGGGAATTTAGGATTGTTCATTTTTCTGTATGACCCAACATTTTAAGCATCCCAGCACACATCTCTTCGTTTAATGATGTTATGTTAACACAAGGTGGCAGCAGCAGCAGAAGAAAGAGGAGGCTGCCTTCTGCTGAAGTGAAGTTATTGTTTACCGAGCATGCTCAAAGAAAGTTTGGTGCCTCTGTAGTGACAGAACAAAGCAAGTGATAGGACTGGTTGGTGTCAGGAGAAACAGGGCAGATATTTGCCCAACACAGAAACTGGCAGGCAAGGATATATGAAACCCTAGAGCAGGGATTTTTTTTCACAAAGAGTCAATTTTAAGTATTCTGGCTTGTGCAGGCCCTCCAGTCTTGCTGGGGCTATTTTGTGTTACATTCATAGAGAGTTGTGTTTAATGTACAAATAAAGTGGTATAACCGTGCTCTGAGACATGCTGATTTATAAACACAAATATGGTTATGATATCAAGAAAGAGTATTCTTTGATTTTGTTTCTTATTCATTGATGATTCATGAGCTGCAGAAACAATGAGCCAAATTCCGTGCTCTGGCCGTTATTTGCTGTCGTTTGCCCTAGATCAGAGATTTAGAGAGGCATATTGATAAGGCATGTGGAAACAAGCTCTTTTTGTGTCTTGATTGATTTGCCCGTAGGATACAAATAGACAGATGACTCTGGCTTAGAAGGGCTGCCGTCCTTGGGTCAGATTGCATAAGACGTGAAGTCTAAGTAGAGGGTTTAGAGTTTACTAAACCAATCTCCTGTAGGTACATTAGTCACAGCTAAGTTCAGAGAGGTACTCATAGTTGTAAAGTCACAGATGAAGTGGAACAAACCGGGAGAGGAAGAGGAAGACTGTTTGGACCTTGACATTTGACTGAAGTGGGGAAGTAATGATTAGTAAGAACAAGGTGACAGATACTTTTTAATTTGTGAGATTATACTATGGCATCAAATTCTTACAGATGATAGAGCACATTTTTGTTTTATAGTTTGGAAATTTTATCACATATCAATATCAATATTTTAAATATAAGTTGGAAATTGGTCAGTTTAGCAGGATATACTGATTAAAAAAGTTTTTGTTTCTGGTGTAAAATGAGTGATGAAAATATTTTTCACATGTAACTGCTTATATTAATGCTATTCCTAATATTTTTGTTATGGGTAAGATGCAATAGTTGTATGCTGATGGTACTTCAATGATGTTTATTGATTACACTAGTGAAAGTGTTCTTTTTATCCTAGACCCTTCCTTGCCTAGACATTCAACAACAGTTCCAACCGATGGCTTTATTCAATATGGTAGAAGCAGCTATTCGCTCATGAAATTGAAGTTACAATGGCACGAAGCAGACAAATATTGCAAGAGTGTCACATCTCTTATTGCTAGCATTCTGAATCCCTACATTAATGCATTTGCATGGATGCAGTTGCAGCCACATAATGTACCTGTGTGGATTGCTCTGAACAGTAATTTGGTAAGATGCTATCATCACACACAATGTGACCTTGTTGGTTTGAAATATTAAAGTCATATTCTGTTTCTAAATAATTTAGGGGAATACTTTTTAGTTTTTGTGGTAAGACATCCTACAAGATGTTGCTGGTCCTGAAGCTGCAGTGACTACATGCCTGAGAAATGTTTATTGTCACTTTTATGTGTTTGATTACCAAGGAAAGAATTGGTTATCAGTTGCAGAGAATTGGGTGATGTGGGGGATGAAGCCAAGATCGAGTAGTGATAGACTTGCAAAATTATGTCTACCAACAGATTTCTGAAATGCCTTGTCAATTGTCTGCTTTGCATTCATCCATTTAGGTAATGAACCTTGAACTAGGTAGTGAATTTCCTTGGGGGGGGGGAGATTGATACTGTTGGTATGTAATTCAGGGGTAGTACTAGAAAAGTTAAAGGCAAGTACATTTAAAGCATTATGGGAGGAGAGAAAAGGAATTATCTGGGTCAGGGGAGAGAACCAAGAGGGCCTCTTGCAGAAAGCCAAGCTTTATGAACGTTGTTTAGGAAGATAAGACATAGTAAAGAACTAACAAGTTAGGGAGAGAGAGCTTGGTTCGTCAGAGGGGGCAAGTCTGGACAGAAGGTTAGTGTCAGTGCCAGGTGATGTAAAACTTCCAGTGGCATGATGCAGAGACAGAACCTCACCTGTGCCGCATTGTAATGACTTCTGGGATCAAAGTTAGGTGAAGTTCTTATGTTTCTGTTAATTGTGCTTTTTAAAAAACTCATTTGTTATTCATTTTCTCTTTTTGTGTTTTTTTAAAATTTATTTTTAAATTTTGAATAAATGTGTGATTCTTATACATTTTTAATAGAGTAAAATGCAGTTTAAATTCTCACAGATAGGATTATAATTATCTTAGGAGCTAAAATAGGCTTTTGTTTTCTTATGGGAATATTAGACGGTTTTCTACCTTATCAATATTTATAACTAAAACAGTACTACTGTCTCACATACATCTATGGAATTAATTATAAGCATGATTTGTTTGAACATGGCGGAATACTATAAAATTGAGACAACACAGGCTGTTGACTTTGTCAATGGGTCTTTGGTAACTGGCTACCATCAAATGATGCAGCAGTAAGAAGAATAACTATTTACATTTCCTAAAAGCTCTCTGATCAGTGTTATATATCATCTATTTTTTTAACATTACCCTTCACATCTCTTCAATTGTTAAAAAAATGCATTATTTTTGAAGTTATCAACTACGTGAGCATAAATGTCACATAAATGTTTGATTAAACTTAGTAAAAATTTGCATCCCAATGGGATACAGAATCACTTTTAAAAAGTGGCATCCTGCTTTGCCTAACTGAAACATTGCCTAACTAGAAGCCAATAGACTGAGGTGTGTTGCTTACATGCCCACATCAGGTACCTAAGCTATTGATCACTGGTACTATTTTTAATAGAAGGACAATGAGAGGAGATCTGTGTTTCTCTCAGTGGTCCTTCAATTCAAGGAACATTGTTTAATTATTATAAAATATTAATACATAGCAGATCTTATGTCTTACTACTATATATCCTTGTTTTTCAAAATTTGTCTAAAATGTATTCCTGGGGATGTTCAAGAAGTAATAATTTTTGAGGAACCTTTCCTTTACTGAATTTGAATTGGTAGAAATGGTTTGTAAAGTTTTTTTTATTCCCAAGTGTTCAAGATTCCATGTCAAATCACTATACTTTTGGCTTTTCCCTTTGTCCTTTTGATATTTTCTGGCTGTAGCATGGTTGCCTGCTGATGGTTGTTTTTGTTCCTGCAGACCAATGATGAATATGTTTGGACTGATAGATGGAGGGTGAGATACACGAACTGGGCTGCAGATGAGCCCAAGCTGAAGTCAGCGTGTGTTTATTTGGATGTTGATGGTTACTGGAAGACAGCACATTGCAATGAAAGTTTCTATTTTTTCTGCAAAAGATCAGATGGTAAGATTGAGATGCTACAAACCATTGTTTAGTGTTATTAAAAAGGTTATGAATCTTCAGTTAAGGATAAAAGAGAGCTTACTTCTCTATTCAACAAAAGACTGACATGACTATAAGCTTATATACATAAATTAAAATAATTGAAAGAGAGTTGTTGAATTCCAGGAAATTTCTGTTTTTGTTTTTTATGAATATCTGAATGGTTATCACTCAGAGAGAGATGCTTATTATTCAGGAGAGCAGGATCTCATTAAAAAAAAAGAGTGATTTGAAAGGGAGACCTTTTGCTAACTTATAAAGGGGTAGCTTTTTAAAAATTATATTAATTTTTTAGGTATTAATAAACCTAGAGGCTTAATTATTAGTGTGATTGACTGCCATCATAATATAGAACATGTTATAATAAAAATTGATAGGAGAAAACTAGTAATAAAAATAACAGAGCTAAATGATAATCATTAGTATAAGGAGTGGTGATAACAATTTTCTCTGGCCAGTAAAATAGTAGAATACACACTGTATTAATTTAGGGTTGTTTTACTTTAAGTATATTTTTATTAACAGAGATCCCTGCCACTGAACCCCCACAACTGCCTGGCCGGTGTCCTGAGTCAGAGCACACAGCATGGATCCCTTTCCATGGCCATTGTTACTATATCGAATCTTCATACACCAGGAACTGGGGACAAGCTTCTCTGGAATGTCTTCGAATGGGTAAGTATCACATTCGCTGAGAGACAATTTGATGATAATCTATTTTGGAGTTTGACGACTCTAATAGCACCAAATATATAAAAACACAAGAAATGTTAAAAACAGATATTTACTTGTTTATTTTTTTAAAGATTGACTTATTTTTACTGCAAAGGAAAAGCTATACACAGAGAGGAGAGACACAGAGAGAGATCTTCTACTTTCCAGTTGACTTCCCAGAAAGCCTCAGTGGCTAGAGCTGGGCTACTTCGAAGCCAGGAGGCCAGAGCCTTTTCTGGGTCTCCCCCACAAGAATTCAGGGGCCCAAGGTTTTGGTCTGTTTTCTTTTGTTTTCCCAAGCCATCAGCAGGGAGCTGGATCAAAAGTGGAACAGCCAGGACTCAAACTGGCACCCATATGGGAAGCTGGCACTGTAGGCAAAAGGTTGTGGATTGGCATGCTAAGCCACCGTCTGGTCCCAAAATGCATGTTTTTTTTTTTTAAATGACTGATTTTGTCAGTATTGTGAATATCATGCCCTTCAAATGTAATTTCTAACGTTGCATTGTCAATACTCCTGAGAATTCACGTAGCCAACAATCATTTGCTGGAACAGTTCTTTCTTCCTTTGTGCTCTCTATAAGTCATTACTATTTTCATTTTCAATTGTCTAGATTATTGTATTATTTCCTTATCAGAATGCTCGGGTTTTTAAATTGTCCAGAAACATTTTGTCCAGTAACAGAAGAGTATATATGTCTGTTGATTATATCTGTGAAGAAAAAACTCAAATAGACACAATATATGTGAATGCTTTCCTGAAATACAAAATATCAAAAAGAGAATTTGGCAGGGATCATTTGAAAGGCACTTGGATGACTTTCATTGGATGATTTTTCCTATTTGTATTTTGTCCTAAAGCATGGCTTTTCATCCAATAGTGATATGCAAGGCTGAGATTCTCATTTCCTGTGGTCCACTGAAAGTCTGAGATGAAATCTCTCTTGCCAGTTTTCAATTTGACTATTTAGGGATTGTGTTAATAGGTAGATAATGAAAATAATGTAGAAGCTCACAGAATGCATTTCCACGAACTTTTTGAAGAATCCCTTAATTTTCTATACTTTTTATTTCTTTCTCCCAAATTGGACTATTGATAACTCTGAAATAATATTGTCCCTACTAGTAGCTTTTGTATAAAAATCTGTTTTGCTAAATATTGATACAGCCACTAAAGCTCTTTTTAAACTGTTTCCAGGCTTTTATGTTCAAAATACTTGCACCTTTTACAGAAAACATATAGTTAAAATCTTTATGGTTAATTTATTATTTTTTATTTTGTTAATCTCTGTTTTTAATTGGAGTGCTCAATCCATTTATATGCAACATCATTCCTGGTAAGATGGAGTTTATGTCTCTCATTTGGCCATTATTTTCTGTATGTTCATATCTTTTGGTTTGTTGAGTTCTTCTTTACTGTCTTTTGTAATTAGGTAATTTGTAATAATCCCTTTTGGTTTGTTTAACTCTATGGATGGTCCTCATCTTGTGATGGTATTACTTATATATTTTATAGTGGGCTTATTGGGATAATACAACCATCATAAATCAAGGAACATCTGTGTATTACTCAGTTATTCTCTTGATGGTTATGCAAGAGACAGACTATTCTTGTCCACCGATTTACTCCACAAATGCTTTCCATAGTTGGAGCTGAGCCAGGCTGAAGCTGATAGCTGGAAACTCAGTCCAGTTCTTCCACACGGTGGCAGGGGTCCAGTTACTTGAACAATCACCTGCTGCCCTCAGAGTTGAACATTCTAGGATACTGGAATTGGGACTGGAGTCAGGACCTGAATCCAGACACTCTGATCTGGGAGGTAGGAGTTCAATGCAGTGTTAACACTAGATCAATTGCTTACTCTCCAGTAAGTACAAAAATGTTGCTCTTATGTAGTCACAGGATGTGGTTAAGAATCTGCATTTTTAAAAACATATTGATTACTCAATATCATGTCAGTTAATTCCATAATGTTGTAAATGGTTGTTGATATTATGTTGGGGCTTTTAATTTATTGGGATGATATTCTGCCAGCTCTACCTTCAGACCAGAGATGGTCTCCCCAAGAAACCGTTGAATTTATCTGGCAATTAGATGCTGGACTCTATGCTTGGTATATGCTCACAATGAAAGAATCTCAATTGAATTTGATCTGTAATGCTGCAACAAGGTGGAGGAATCCATCATGGGGAGAGGGGATGGGGAGGGGTTGGAGGAATCCCAGAGCCTATGAAACTATGCCACATAATGCAATATAATTAATAAAAAAAGAAACTTTACATATTAAAAATGTATGTTGCCATGGATTTAAAATTTTTGTCATAAATTGGTAGAATGAGTATTCAATATAAGTAGTTTCAATAAAAGTAGTTTTTATCCATTGCACAAATATTTTGAAAAGACTGATGCTATGAAATATATTTAATGAAGGATTATTTAATCAGTTTTCAATCAAGAGAATCATCAAGAGGATAAGCCAGGTCCCAGGAATAATTGATGTGGACGTAGGGTGAAGTACTCATCCTTGAGGTTTACAGTGTCTGAGTTACAATACCACAACTCTGATCTGCCCTCACTGGAATTTCTCTGTAATTTAATTTCCTAATCTATTAGACAGGAGCAATAATACCTATTTAATGAATTTGTTACAATTATCATGAAGTAAGGATGGAAAACTCCAAAAGAAAATGTCAAGTATTAAATGCTTAAGATATGTTTGGTTATTATTACAAGTTACAGATTCTCATTGTAAAATCTAATGCTGACATTTTCATGTGAATTTTGCAGCCTTCAACTGTTCATGGCAATTTTCTCTCTTCTGTGTATACCAAATGCTACTAACACTGCCTGCTTCTGCTGCCTGAGCACACAAGGTGTTCTCTATTACTGTGTTGTCCTCATTATCCTGGTAACAGGCAGGAAGGCCTGCACCTTGTCTTTCTTGCCTGTTGGCTGCATTGATGCCACACTCCAGCCAAACTGAGCCATCTGTATTTCTGAGCAAGCTCAGTTTCCTCAATTTCCTCAACATCTATGAGCATTGTTCTGAGCAAGCTCTATATTTTCCTGTCCTCCCCTCTGCTCGAGGTTGTTTCCTCCATCTGCTTTTCCATTTGTCACCTACAGTTTTTGCTTGACATTTCCGTAACATATTATTACTCCCCTTTTCTCAGTGGTTAGATTTGTCTGTACCTTCAACTTACCATTTTCCATGAACTGTAAAGTTCTTCAGATATATTCCATGTCCTACTCATCTGCGTGTCCTACAGGCCCCAGTTCAGTGTTTATTCATAATGTTTGAAAAGCTGTATTTCCTAGCATAAAGTTCAGCGTCTTATTGTCCAACAATAAAAAAAAAAAAAAAGCTGTATTTCCAGAATAGAAACTAAAATCCTAAGGAGACCGAGTCTTTGCTCTTTGAAATTCTTATCTTTAAGTGAGAAACATTGGGCTGGCTCGTTTTACTCTTATTATTGGTGCTGTTTTAGAATATATTTTTTAGATGCTTAAACATAATCCCATCTTATTTGTCTTTTTGTACTTCACAGGTTCTTCTCTGGTTTCCATTGAAAGTGCATCTGAATCTAGTTTTTTGTCATATCGGGTTGAGCCTCTTAAAAGTAAAACCAATTTTTGGATAGGAATGTTCAGAAATGTTGAAGGTAATTTTCACAGACTATTATTTAATTATACAAATAGTCTAAACTATTGCATGTGAGGTAAAGGTTCAATTTCAGAACCTCTTGACTTAAATCATGGTTAATTAGGAACTAAAATATTCAAATTCATGTTTTATTTGAGATAATAATACATTTATTGACTCACATATGTTGTCCTCAAAGCTGCCCCTTAAAAATATCTTTTATAGTTGTTTATGATTTAAAAAGAGTGTTTTCCATTACATTTTTGTTTTGCTGTAACAAAACTAGGAAATGATAAGCATGAATATCTGTACTAATTAAAAATACATTTTCAACTACAGCTCTATGCTAAACATATTTTGATTGGATTCTTTCCCTTGAACAATTAATCAATTTAACTAGCCTTACCTGGTTGTATATGATTGTTGAGTCTCTAATAAAGCAATCTGCTTAGAAACTATACACAAAGACACGGGGCTTATTTCAAGACGAGTTTTGGTGACTTCTGTTTCTCTTGGCTTTGTTTGATCAGGAAAGTGGTTGTGGGTGAATAACAACGCGGTTTCCTTTGTCAACTGGAACACCGGGGATCCCTCTGGTGAACGAAACGATTGTGTGCTTCTGGATGCATCGTCTGGGTTTTGGAATAATATTCACTGTTCTTCCTACAAGGGCTATATTTGTAAAAGACCAAAAAGTAAGTGAGAAGCTTATAGTATGCTGACAATTTTCACAATCACCATTTCTTTCTTTCAAATGTATGTGATTAGACAAGGATACTTCAGTTTGTGGGGCTGGGAAGAATTGAGACAGAATTTATTTGGGTGCATAAATTTTTGGAATCTATGCACTTGTCTTTGATGATATGGGTTTTCCACCAACTTTCTAAAGACCTTTTGTAGGTAGGTCCTTTGCAAACTTTTCTGTCATTATCAGTGGTAAGCAATTCCAGTCTGCATCCCTGAGTAGCACTCTGCCTAGCTGTCAATGATTTTTATCAGTCGATGCATTAATCATGACATATCCACAGATATGAGATGCTAACCTGCAGGCGGTTGAGCCTTGTTATGTTAGGGGGGAGGAGATGCAGCTGTCTACAGCCTGAAGCCTACTCTGCTGAAGAGTCAGAATTGATGGGGGAGTAAGTTATGTAAGACCCATTCAGTCCTCTCCTGATAGGAATAGGAAACCATGAATTGGAAACCATTGGGTCAATTAGTCATGTCATGTACTTGAGATGTGCCACTGTCTGGACTTGAATGACATTTGTATAGCACTCTACCTTAATAAGAATATTGTCCTTCCTGAGAGAAATTATTAAACACTAGCTTTAAATATATGTGTTGTGCAAGTCTTTAATGTTTTATCTTTAAGTGTATTCTGATACCACATCCTTTGGTACAACATTGGAATCTTACCTTAATCTTCATTCAAATATTTTGCACTATTAAGACTTCAATGGGCCTATTAAAAACCCTAACCTAGAATATTCATTGGTAGACCAGTGGATCAGCGTGTAAGTGGATCAAATGCAACTTGGAGGATTTCATTTTTCAGATCTTTGAATGTGTTCAAAGTTCCGATGGTGCTATAACTTAGATGGATGATAGAAAGAGATACATAATACATAGGTCAATGGATATAGTGTTAAGTGTATATGTTGTATGAGGAGAAAGGGGTAATGCAGTCACTAGCCCAAATTTGGTATATGTTATGTCATATCACCATGAACCAAATAGAAAAAGATTCTGCATAAATCTGAAAGACAGTATTTACTCTTTGTATGCAGTTTTTATTAATATTTAATTATTTTCTTTTCCATTAACAGTTGTTGATCCTACACCTACTCAAAAGGAAGTTACAACAAAAGGTAAAGCCATTATGACGGTGTAAGTTCAGTGTGAGGGATGCAGCTACGCTGTTTGCTTTGAAAGGTGTAAAGATCTCCTGCTCCCCAGACACTCTCGGGGGTTGCTGGGGCTGCCCGGACCTTTGCCATATTACCAGGCTATTCTGCAGGATATTTTTTTGGGGGGAAAACAGCTTTAGAAATCAGATTAGTATCTCCCAAGAAAAGCTCAAGAAGCTTTGTACGTCTTTTTATTTGAAATAACTTTTCTCTTTTAGTTTTTATAAATGACTGGCATTAGGTAGCTAATCTACTCATATTTCACTTATTTTTGTCTGCTAAAAAAAACTCCAGGTGAGATATATAATTTGTCATTCCCTTGCTACATATGAGTGCTATTCATTTACTAATTATAGTCATTAGCTCAAATTTATGTGGTTTTTATTTCCTAAATTTGTCATTTGTTTTGAAGTATAATAATCATTAAGATTATTCTGTTTATTGTTATTTTAAATATTCATTTATTTTACTTGAAAATCAGAGTTAAAGAGAGAGGTAATGAGAGACACAGAGAGAGGTCTTCCATCCACTTGCTCATTCCCTAAATGTCCACAACAGCCAGAGCTGAGCCAATCCAAAGCTAGGAGTAAAGAACTTCTTGTGGGTCTCTTACGTGGGTTCAGGGGCCTTGGGCCATCCTCTGCTGCTTTCCCAGGCCATTAGCAGAGAGCTGGTTGTGAAGTGGAACAGCTGGGACACAAACCTGCTGGTGCTGCAGGGGGAGGATTAGCATGCTGCACCACTGCACTAGCCCCCATTTACCTTCTTATACTGTATGTTTAATTGGCCTTAAATGATTTTGAAATAGCATTATTATTTTGAAAGAAAACGTGTACTTTTTAAAATTTTTCAGCAAGAAACTTGTATTGTCCACCACAGCCTTCAGTCTTATCCCTATCTCCTTCCACTTGTTCACTAATGATTGTGTTTGTTTCTAGCTGACTCCAGGAAGATGGCCCCTTCCAGATCGTCTTCCAGCATGGCAGGAGTCGTGGTTGTTGTGGTCCTTCTGATTCTGGCAGGTGCTGGCTTTGCTGCTTATTTCTTTTATAAGAAAAGGCGCATGCACATACCTCCAGAGAGCACCTTTGAAAACACTCTTTATTTTAACAGCCGGGTAAGCCCAGGAGCCAGTGACACCAAAGACCTCATGGGCAACATTGAACAGAACGAGCATGCAGTCATCTAGTGCCATCAGGGGATTTTTGTAATCTTTAAATTTCATAATATTGTACCTAAAATTTTAATTCTTTAATTCAATGTGATCGTTTCTTTTAAAGTGAGTACTGATTTGTACTGGCTTGTTCTTTTTCTTTGCATAATTGAAAAAAATAATTGCTCATTTTTAGCCTGGCAAGATATTTTCACCAACACAAAAAAGATACAATAACTTTAAATGTTTTAAGAAAAGCATGCTAACATAAAAAAATGATTACACTTCAAAAAAATACTTTGGGTGAATGTACAGCACAATGGCAACATCTAAGTATCATTGATATGTAGCTGTGTTCCCTGCTCATGCAGATCTCTAGGGTTCTAGAAACAACCGATAAGCCTCCTGAAAATAGTGTAAGAAATTCTCAAAGAGGTGGGGCCTCTTTAATTCTGATTCAACAATTAGAATACCATTTTAAAATTAAGTACCAAGAACTTTTGTGGCATAAAAGTTCGTTAAGTTTTTACCACTCATGATATCTAAATATTTAGAAGAATAAGGCAGCTGAGAATCCTTCACACGCAAGTTTGACAAGCTTAATATTGCAAATATGTCTTTGTCCTGTTATATGTATATCAGGAACACAGAGATGTGAAATAAAAATGTAAATTTGCATAACTGAATGTACTTAGATAATGTGAAATAAACATTAAAGACAAGTTCTATTTTTAATAGAATTGCAGTTTGGTGATCTTAGTAACTGTAAATTTGCTTTTAAATGAGATTTATTTATCCATATACATTAGACTTAATCTTAAGCAATGTTGCTGATAAAGAAATTCTTTCAACTCTTCATCTTTTTTTAAAAAAAGGTTTTGATGCTGAAGCACTAGGTGAAAATGATTTTTTTGGCCATAATGACTGATAGAATTTCTCCAGATCTTCCTCTCTAACACTGACTCAACTCAGATTCAACAAGAAAAGTAACTGTTACTAGGAATTTGAGCTCTCACTGTTTTATTCTCTGATCAGCAGTATTTTTGGCTTAAGAATTTTACCTTAAGCCTTGTGTGCTCTCATCTGGTTAGTTCCTTGCTTGGAACGTACTGTAATAAACTTTGCCTTACTATGCCTCTTCGGTCTCTCTCAACTCATTACTCTTTTGGTGAAATAGTATTATAGCATGATAGCACAGCAAATTGAGCCATGGCCAATGACATGAGCTTCTTGGTTGATCCGCTTCCACTTTTGCTCCTTGCAGATGCACTAGGAAAATAGCAGAATGTGGCCCAAGTACTTGGGCTCCTGATGCATGTAGGTGATCAAGATGGAGTTCAGAGTTCTTCTGGCTTTGACCCAGTCCGGCCCAGGCCATAGTGGGCATCTGGAATGAGCCAGCAGATGAAACACTGGTTCTCTCCTCCCCTACCCTTTCAAACAAACAGCTATTATGTTTAATGTTACCTAAGATTTAAGCACATGTATTTTGTAGGTTTCACATAACCATACAGAACCTCTAGCACCTCCTTTTACTCACTTAAGGGATTGATTGGCCATGCAGAAATGTTCTTTAGCTACAAGTCACTGGACAGGACTCTGGGTGGCACCAAGATATCTATAAAGGTCTTACAACTGCATACAGCATGTATTTATTTATGCCATTTGTGTGTGTAGGGGAGTGCAATCAGCTAGATTTTCTAAAAAGAGCCTGCTACAAAAATATTAAGACTAGTGACAGGAGAAAAGAAATTCAGAATGTGAAGTGGGAGATAGTGGGAAAGCTTGCTCAGTACAAATGGCTGCCTCCTACACCTGTGATAACAGAGCAAACTGCTTCTCATGCCCTTGGTCAGAGGAAGGCATGCTCTGTCTGAAGAAGTTCCAGTGGAAACAATGGCTGCAGCTTCAAATAGTGTGTGATGAACTTGCCCTTTCTGTGTATGTGTTTCTGGTGAAGATGAAAGAATTGGTGAAATATGAATGAGCACAATTCATAAATTCTTTATACAAATCTGTTTAATTATAATTCAGCACTGTATTTTCACAGAAGACTGTTAGAATCCCAAACAACAGGTGTCTGACTCCAGTGTCTTCAGCACTAGGACCTCTGACTACTACATTTCTCTCAAACACATAATCAATGGTTATCCACAGGCCTGTCCAAACACAGTGTTCAAACATCAAGGCTATTCCAGGGCAACAGGTGTTGGGTAGAGAAGTTTTTATGTCTGTTTTATTCACTTTTGGTTTTCTCATTGAAGTTGCCTTACTATCTTTAACCAAAAATTCTCAGTGGATTAAATATTTAAATTCTAGTTAAAATGGTATATTTAATGAAGTTCCAGTATTTTCATCAAAGTAAAAAAAAATACACACAGTGCTTTTTACAATCACTTGTTATATTTTGTTACTTAAATCTTCCATTTTGAGTAGCCATTGATGATAATTTAGATTTCTCTTTGTGGAGATTAACAGAATTTCTGTAGACTACTTGAGCTTCCATCTATTTCAAACCTTACTTCTCTAATTCTTGATTCCTTTGGTCCCAAGTACTGTAGGATACCCTAATATTGCATTATAAATTCTGGGTCTCAACCTTCCTGCGAACTTGATGGTTCTGCATGGGGATATCGCAAGAAGTCACTTCAGAGGTGGCTTTTTGATAGGTTGCACTAGGTTCTGCTGTGGTCCTTAAGCCACTCACTATCAATCTAAGAAAACAGTGAAGGATGTCGCAGAAGTGACTAAAGGTACTGTTCAGTTGACTTCAAGCTAGAGAACTTTCGATGAGGGTTCTTAATCCATTGTGTGGCCTTAAGATTGAGTTCTGACATTCCTTGAGGGGAGGGGAATGTGAAGGAGAGACCCCTTCCTGTGGGCCATGGTTTTGGCCTATGAAATGCCGGCTCACTCTGATATCCCCTTTCTGATGCCCTCTGTTGGGGACTTTGCACCTGCTTAGCCAGTCAGACATGACTGCATAAGCTGTTTCTTTATAGTATGTCTCTGTGTCTGTTTATTATATAGGTATGTACTCATAATCAGCAATCTACCTATTTTAATATTTCCTACTTATACTGTTTGGTTGAGCCTTGATAACATAGTTTTATCTGAAAAAAATCACATAATTCATAGATATTTATATATGTGAATATATAAATATAAAATGCAAACTCAAAGGTATTCTGAACTCAACATCCTTTTATCCTAATTCCCCAAATGCTCATGGCCACTCCAACAGGGATCAATACAATAGGAGGAGTGACAAGGGGGCAGTTGAAATGGAAGGTCTATAGGTAATCACAGTTAAAATGTTTGACTTCTACAAATTTTATTTTAAAAGCATGGTCATAGGAAACTGACAGAGCCCCTATCAAGATCTTATTAGAACCCAGTGTAAGTAGGCAGCTTTGAAACAAAACCAAGTCTCATTAACATTGCTATGTCCACTCAAGGTCAGGGATAGTTTCTGAGAGGAATACTACTGCACAGAATCTCAAAGACCAGGAGAAAGTGGCTAGGGAGAAGCAAGCATGGATCTTGAATAGAGGCACTAAAATGAAGCCAGCTGACTCCTAGGGAGCCTGAATGAGATGAACGTGGGGAGGTGGGCGGCACCGGAGCTTCGGGGTGAGACACTGAGTGAAGCACAGGAGGCATTCTGTGCGGGCTTCTCCACTCAAACTTCATTGAGAGCACCCGGATGCGGTGTCAGGCTCTGCCCCTGTGACTCAACACAGGAGACAACATGTCTGCCTCCGTAATCAAAGCTGCATGTGTGAAGTGGTCTCATTTAACAAGAGGCCGGAAACATTCCTCCTTGAGACTCAGACTTCCAAACTTAGAGCCATGAAAGTACGCGAGTGCTCTCTGGAAGAACTGGGCTCAACTACCCTGAGAAAGGTAGGGCGTGTTCGTGTGGGAGGCAAGCAGCAAGTGGCTTTTTCTCTAACCAAACGGGAAGAAAATCCTATCTTCATTTGGAAATGGTTTTTTGTTGTGAAGATGTATTCTCTGTTGGTGTCTTAAGAGAGTAGTTTGTTGTAAAGCCGGTGCCCAATGTCATCAGCATCTGGGCCTACCCCACACGCCCGAAACCAGAGACTGGGAGTGGGGCTCAGACACGGCCTTAACTCACAGAACAGGACAAAAATGCTTGCAGCTGATTCTCTTGGGTAATGAGGCATTGAGATTTGAATGTGCCTGGAACCAAAGCAGGTTTTGCCATTTACTAGTCAGTGTGATAGCGCTGCCAGGTGGGGCCTTGGCGGAGCCATTAGGTCAAGGTGGCTCCTCCTAAGGGACGCTTGCTTTTTCCCCTGGGCTTTTTCCCCTGGTGTTCGTCTCCTTGTGTCTTCCCTTCTAACCTAGAAGGACTTGGCAGTCTGCTCTCCTGAGGCCACAGCAACAAGGAAGAGGAAAGAGCCTGGCACTTTGATCTTGGAGTTCCCAGTCTTCAGAACTGTAAGAAAATACAGCACTGGTCTGTGTAAATTACTCGATTGGTGGTGGTCTGTTAGAGCAGCACAAACTAGGAGGTGAGGGCATTGTGGTAAATGAGAATGTGCATGTAAACATCTTGGTCACAGTTATTAGCAGCGAGCCATTGGTAACTTTCCTGAGATGACGTGGCTCTGCATAACGGGATCACATCTTACCCATGAGAAGCTCTGTGCATAAAATGTCATGTTGTCATTTGTCTCTGTACTTGGGGCTGTTGGAAGGGAATCTACATAATACCTAAAAATCAAACAAGAAATTTTCTTTAAAATATTGTGTGTGGCCGAATCTAAAAATGTATTAGGAGATGTCTTCAACTGGAACTCTCTCACCCTGTCCCCCATTCAACAGTATACCGGGGGAGGTGTGTTTTGGTGTTAGTGAGTCTTCAGTGATCTTTAAATAATGGTTTCCTTTGGAAGGCCTCCCCAAGAGGCAGCACCTTTCAAGGCGATGACACTGACATTACCAAGGCCCCTTGAATTGGCTGGAGAGCCTGACTGTGCTGTGGGGTTTTAAAATATTAATGCTATTCATGGCAGTCCTCCATGAGTCGATTTTGGCCACAGTTTTTGCTCTCTTTCCATCAATTCACCCTTCCCTATCACAGCTTTCTCCTTTTGATCAAATTACGGCTTCTGAACACACAGCTCCTTATGACGTTGGAAGCACCCATTCTTCCAATCTCCTGTTGATTTACTTATTATTATTTTTAAAGGCCAAGAAAGTTCAAAACTTGATGGGCATGTTCCTGTTTCCAAGTTTTAAGGGTTCTCAAGTTTTGCTGGCCATAAAAACCACACCAAATTTCTGTGAAATTCTGACTCCAAGGCTGTGATTCTGATTGGGTACACCTGACTCAGAGGAGAGCTGGAATTTGTATTTCACTACATCCCAGGAGATTTGGGAGGAGGTGTGGCACACAGCCTTCAACTATGACTTTGGGCACACTGTTTTGGAATTTTACTTCGTTGAAATAGTTTTTCCCCAAACTGTTAGACATCTAACATCTCAAGAGCATATAGGCGTTAACCAAAGCTGCCGCTTCACCAGCCCCTCTAATTAATCAGGGCATAGAAGCTCAAATTCACCCCTGTGCTTTTCTGCTGAGCCGGCATCTACTCTCCCCATGCTGTTTGGCTCCCACGTGCCCTTGCAACACCATCAATGAATGTGTGGAAGTGAAGCTTTATCTGTCTTATCCAATTTTGTGATAGGAATCCCAAGAAGGAAAGGGCTGGATTTTAGGTCATTCTGGGTGGAGAGCCCAGGTCTCCATGGAAGAGCCATGTCTCCAGGCTGGGCCTAGCAACAGAAGGCCTCTGCTCACCACAGACAAGCCCATCCTAGAAAATGCTTCTCCAGGACTCTGTGTGTGCTCACCCTCCAGAAAGGCAAAGAGGAAGCACTACAGTGCTTATGATCCTATGACTCAATGCTCCAGCTTTATTCTCCCGAAGAAAACCCATTGGTGGCTTTTTAAAAAGTTACAGTAAATATGTTGAAAGCAATCTGTTTCTTAATCTTCCTCAGTTCTCTGAACTGGGAGTAGTGTGTGACTGAAACAGTAGGAAGGAAACTAAGTCCTGTGTGCCAGGCAGTCATCTTGAAGTGTGTTCTGTTGGCTGCAAGA